TTTAACAATCCTGACATTGGATAGACAGCCACATTATCTTGTTTCAAGACAGCTACTAGTAACAATCCTGACATTGGATAGACAGCCACATTGACTTGTTTGAAGACAACTACTAGTAACAATCCTGACATTGGATAGACAGCCACATTGACTTGTTTGAAGACAACTACTAGTAACAATGCTGACATTAGATAGACAGCCGCATTGACTTGTTTGAGGACAACTTCTAGTAACAATGCTGACATTAGATAGACAGCCACATTGACTTGTTTGAGGACAACTTCTAGTAACAATGCTGACATTGGATAGACAGCCACATTGACTTGTTTCAAGACAACTACTTTTAACAATCCTGACATTGGATAGACAGCCACATTGACTTGTTTCAAGACAACTACTTTTAACACTCCTGACATTGGATAGACAGCCACATTGACTTGTTTCAAGACAACTTCTAGTAACAATGCTGACATTAGATAGACAGCCACATTGACTTGTTTCAAGACAACTTCTAGTAACAATGCTGACATTGGATAGACAGCCACATTGACTTGTTTCAAGACAACTACTTTTAACACTCCTGACATTGGATAGACAGCCACATTGACTTGTTTCAAGACAACTTCTAGTAACAATCCTGACATTGGATAGACAGCCACATTAACTTGTTTCAAGAGAACTACTAGTAACAATGCTGACATTGGATAGACAGCCACATTGACTTGTTTCAAGACAACTTCTAGTAACAATGCTGACATTGGATAGACAGCCACATTGACTTGTTTCAAGACAACTACTTTTAACACTCCTGACATTGGATAGACAGCCACATTGACTTGTTTCAAGACAACTTCTAGTAACAATCCTGACATTGGATAGACAGCCACATTGACTTGTTTCAAGACAACTTCTAGTAACAATGCTGACATTGGATAGACAGCCACATTGACTTGTTTGAAGACAACTACTAGTAACAATCCTGACATTGGATAGACAGCCACATTGACTTGTTTCAAGACAACTACTAGTAACAATCCTGACATTGGATAGACAGCCACATTGACTTGTTTCAAGACAACTTCTAGTAACAATGCTGACATTGGATAGACAGCCACATTGACTTGTTTGAAGACAACTACTAGTAACAATCCTGACATTGGATAGACAGCCACATTGACTTGTTTCAAGACAACTTCTAGTAACAATGCTGACATTGGATAGACAGCCACATTGACTTGTTTCAAGACAACTACTTTTAACACTCCTGACATTGGATAGACAGCCACATTGACTTGTTTCAAGACAACTTCTAGTAACAATCCTGACATTGGATAGACAGCCACATTAACTTGTTTCAAGAGAACTACTAGTAACAATGCTGACATTGGATAGACAGCCACATTGACTTGTTTCAAGAAAACTACTAGTAACAATGCTGACATTGGATAGACAGCCACATTGACTTGTTTGAAGACAACTACTAGTAACAATCCTGACATTGGATAGACAGCCACATTGACTTGTTTCAAGACAACTTCTAGTAACAATGCTGACATAAGATAGACAGCCACATTGACTTGTTTCAAGACAACTACTAGTAACAATCCTGACATTGGATAGACAGCCACATTGACTTGTTTGAAGACAACTACTTTTAACACTCCTGACATTGGATAGACAGCCACATTGACTTGTTTGAAGTCAACTACTTTTAACACTCCTGACATTGGATAGACAGCCACATTGACTTGTTTCAAGACAACTTCTAGTAACAATGCTGACATTGGATAGACAGCCACATTGACTTGTTTGAAGACAACTACTAGTAACAATCCTGACATTGGATAGACAGCCACATTGACTTGTTTGAAGACAACTACTTTTAACACTCCTGACATTGGATAGACAGCCACATTGACTTGTTTCAAGACAACTACTAGTAACAATCCTGACATTGGATAGACAGCCACATTGACTTGTTTCAAGACAACTACTAGTAACAATCCTGACATTGGATAGACAGCCACATTGACTTGTTTCAAGACAACTTCTAGTAACAATGCTGACATTGGATAGACAGCCACATTGACTTGTTTCAAGACAACTTCTAGTAACAATGCTGACATTGGATAGACAGCCACATTGACTTGTTTGAAGACAACTACTAGTAACAATCCTGACATTGGATAGACAGCCACATTGACTTGTTTCAAGACAACTTCTAGTAACAATGCTGACATTGGATAGACAGCCACATTGACTTGTTTCAAGACAACTACTAGTAACAATGCTGACATTGGATAGACAGCCACATTGACTTGTTTGAAGACAACTACTAGTAACAATGCTGACATTAGATAGACAGCCACATTGACTTGTTTCAAGACAACTACTAGTAACAATGCTGACATTGGATAGACAGCCACATTGACTTGTTTGAAGACAACAACTAGTAACAATGCTGACATTAGATAGACAGCCACATTGACTTGTTTCAAGACAACTACTAGTAACAATGCTGACATTGGATAGACAGCCACATTGACTTGTTTCAAGACAACTACTTTTAACAATGCTGACATTGGATAGACAGCCACATTGACTTGTTTGAAGACAACTACTAGTAACAATCCTGACATTGGATAGACAGCCACATTGACTTGTTTGAAGACAACTACTAGTAACAATCCTGACATAAGATAGACAGCCACATTGACTTGTTTGAAGACAACTACTAGTAACAATGCTGACATTGGATAGACAGCCACATTGACTTGTTTGAAGACAACTACTAGTAACAATCCTGACATTGGATAGACAGCCACATTGACTTGTTTCAAGACAACTTCTAGTAACAATGCTGACATTGGATAGACAGCCACATTGACTTGTTTGAAGACAACTACTAGTAACAATCCTGACATTGGATAGACAGCCACATTGACTTGTTTGAAGACAACTACTAGTAACAATCCTGACATTGGATAGACAGCCACATTGACTTGTTTCAAGACAACTTCTAGTAACAATGCTGACATTGGATAGACAGCCACATTGACTTGTTTGAAGACAACTACTAGTAACAATCCTGACATTGGATAGACAGCCACATTGACTTGTTTCAAGACAACTGCTAGTAACAATGCTGACATGTGGCAGAGTTGATTAGTTAAAGTATGTTTTAATGAAGAAACATGAGAATGTTATAAATACTGATAAGAAATTTCTGTTTGAGGTGCTTTTGGACTGAAATGTTATAACTTTTCAGCAAACCTGACCAAAATGGCCAATGGACATTTTCTCATCACTTGGCATCCGTTATTGCATTTGCCTGTTAACTTTTACAAAAATTGATTTTTTACCAATTTTTGTGTTGTATGCAAAAACTAAAGTAGACAGTAAGCATAAAATGTTATTAGCAATACAAAATCAACAAAAAGAGATTTTAGCAATAAACTACATTCTTGTCTGCAATATTGGAAAATGGTTGTTGTAGAATATCCACATAGATTCAGGTGAGGGGCACTTTTTATGCCCCCTCCGTAGCAGTGGGGGCAATAAGTTTTACCCTTGTCCGTCTGTACGTACCTACGTCCCAAAATTGGTTTCCGTTCTCTAACTTGAGTTTGCCTCAACCAAATGTTATGAAACTTATACACAATGCTTATTACCACAAAACACAGATCAAGTTTGAATTTTGGTGGCGTCACTATAACCGTTCTAGAGTTATGCCCCTTTATAAATGGAAAAATTGCAATATTTTGAGTTTCTGTTCTCTAACTTAAGTTAGCCTCAACCAAATGTTATGAAACTTATACACAATGCTTATTACCACAAAACACAGATCAATTTTGAATTTTGGTGGCGTCACTTTAATCATTCTAGAGTTATGCCTCTTTATAAATGGAAAATTTCAAAATTTTTATTTATTTTTAAATAATTTAATTTTGGATGTAACGCGTCTTCCGATTGGCTGACGTTGTTTTGTTTATCAGCTCATAGACATAATTTTGTCATGTGACCTTGACGTCATCAACGTATTTTCATGATTTACTCCAGTTTAAAATGGAATTAAGAATTAAATTATAAGAAATGAATGTAATATTTTTTCTGTCTATTCGAAATAACTTAAAAAATGTGGTGCACACTTTAAAATAACCCGCTACGTGGGTTATTCAGTGTGCACCACATTTTTGATGTTATTTCTTCATAGACAGAAAAAATATTACAGTCATTCCTTAAATATCAAGTAATTTTTAAAATTGGAGTTATCTTCCTTTGTCCATGATTATAGTTGAATCAACTACAATCAATGCTTTATACAATGCAATGTTTAATTTTGACTTCCACTGATAAAACACTACATAATACAGATTAAGTATGAAATTTGGTGGCAACACTTTTACCATTCTTGAGTTATGTCCCTTTATAAACAAAAAAATTGCTGAATTTTTTAGTTTGTCTCAACCAAATGTTATAAAACTTATACATAACCGTTCTAGAGTTATGCGTGTTTACAAATAGAAAAATTGCTGAATTTTTAGTTTCTGTTCTCTACTTAAGTTAGCCTCAACCAAATGTTATGAGACTTAAGTTAGCCTCAACCAAATGTTATGAGACTTACACACAATGCTTATTACCACAAAACTCAGGTCAAGTTCAAATTTGGGTAGCGTCACTTTTACTGTTCTTCAATTATGTCCCTTTATAACTATATGATATGCAAGCGGGGGCATCATCTGTGTCCACGTGGACACTATCCACATTTTTTTTTTATTAAAATCATTTGGGACATGATTTTATAACATGAACTGAAAAGCCTTTGATGATACCTGATTCAATGCACGTGTGGAACTGAGAGGTATCTTGGAAGAAACTGAACTAAATAATAATAAGACCGACACCATGAACACTAGGATTAAATACACGCTAAAAATATTCCCATGTTAATTATAGAATATGAGCTATCAGACATTTTCAACTGATTGTTTCTGTTATAGCAAGAACAAGAACATTCAGAATGTAGACGACATCCCTGCCAAGGTTTTGAGGTATATGCTGTTTCAGTAACCAAATGCTAACCATATTATATTTTCTAACACTTTGTTATTTTGTATGAAGCTAACAATTTGTATTAAGCTAAGATACAGGTAAAAAAGATCACCCATTATATCAGTCATGTTTTCTGCTGAGTAAAAAATCAAACATAAAGCAGGGACAATATATTCCTACATTCTATTTATCCTGCTGTGTTAATGATTATGGTAAACATCCATCATGTCCATATGAAGTTTTAAATTTCACAAAATTATATGATACAATTCTGTAAGCTTGGTGTTCTTTTAAAAAGTAATGTATATAAAAATAGAAAGAAAGAAAAAATGATTGTTATACATATATATTTGAACATTATTAAGTTTTAAATTTCACAAAATTATATGATACATGACTTTTATAGAAAAAAATTAAATTCTGTAAGCTTGGTGTTCTTTTAAAAAGTCATAAATATAAAAATAGAAAGAAAAAAAAATGATTGTTATACATATATTTGAACATAATACTATTATACATTGTAAATAACAGTATAGCATTATTTTTTACAGTAAAGCATTTACACTATTCAAAAAACGCTTTAACAGGATAGAAGATAAAATTAAGCATGGAACATTTCCATCCTTAAATAATTCTTCAACAATATTATTAACAGAGTATTTAGCATTTTGTATATCACTATCAGTATATATTTTTTAATTTGTTTTATTAACATGATTAATGTTTCATCTTAAAAAGAGCCTGAGCCTAATGTTATATTGACTTTTATGACTTTGATTTGATGTTGACAGCATTCTAATGTCATCTACAATAATAAATATTAAGTTTCTAAGATCCAGAAGGTTCCTTATTTTTATTTGATTTTTAATGATGAATCCACAGTAATTCAGTTACCATGACTACATGTGTCCCAAGAATATAAACAGTTCAAGTCTCAAATGGTTATTTCAGTTGGCACATCTTCAATATTTTTAACTATTTGATATAATTTGATCTGTATATCTTTACCAGACACATCTGCTAATACAAGCCTGCTTCATACACTACTTATTATTTAACAAGTGTGTAATATAATGAATGTATTAACTGCACCGGTGTCTCTAATCCTACAGAGTATTAACTTAGGATAAGAATCTATTCAAAGCTCTGTTGTTGAATTATCAATTAAACCAAAATTAAACTATCATTAGAAAATTCAAGAAAACTGTAATATTGTATAAAGCAGAATATATGTAGACATGTTTTCATGATAAGAAAAACTTTCATATAAAACAAAATGAAAAGACATGAAAGCATCTAATATGTTTTAGTATGTAGATGCTTATCTTGGCACAATGTTAATGGTTAGGTAATAACAAGATGCACACTGACAGATAATGATATCTTAAATATTTAATGGTTTTTGTTGCAGTCAGAGTTCAGGAAAAAATCTCACACATGGTTCTTCAGGTCATATTTATAACCTACTGAGTAGATATCCTTTAACAATCTCATAAATATATAGATTTACAATTTTACGTGAATGTATATTATTCGGAACATCTTTATGAGAATCAATTTTAAAGTTATTTAAAAAAATTGCTGCATCATAAAAGCACAAAATCATGTCTTCCTGCACATTTAATGATGCTGCTGCATGAAATCTACATGGAATTCTTGCATTTAGATATGAATAAACTTAAAGTACTGTAAATTCAGAAATTATTGTGAGGTTTTTATACGACCGCAAAAAAATTTTGTGGTCGTATATTGGTATGACGTTGAATTCGGGTCGTCGTCGTTGTCGTCGTCCGAAGACACATTGGTTTTCGCACTCTAACTTTAGTTTAAGTGAATGGATCTCTATGAAATTTTGCATTTATATATAAGGTTCAATACCACAAAAGGAAGGTTGGGATTGATTTTGGGGGTTATGGTACCAACAGTTAAGAAATTAGGGGCCAAAAAGGGGCCAAAAATAAGCATTTTTGTAACTTCCAGACATAACTTGTGTGTTAGTGTATGGATCTCTCTGACATTGTACCACAAGGTTCCATATCACAAAGGGAATGCTGGGATTGATTTTGGGGGTAATTGCCTCCAAATTTTAGGAATTAGGGGCCAAAAAAGGGGCAAAAAACAAGCATTTTTCTAGTTTCATGACAATAACTTGTGTGTAATTGTATGGATCTTTCTGAAATTGTACTACAAGGTTCCATATCACAAAGGGAAAGCTTGAATTGAGTTTGGGGGTAATTGCCCAAAAACGTTTAGGAATAAGGAGCCAAAAATAAGCATTTTTCTAGTTACCAGACAATAACTTGTGTTCAAGTGTATGGATCTCTCTGAAATTGTACTGCAAGGTACCATACCACAAAGGGAAGGCTGGGATTGATTTTGGGGGTAATTGCCTCAAAATTTTAGGAATTAGGGGCCAAAAAGGGGCAAAAAACAAGCATTTTTCTAGTTTCAGGACAATAACTTGTGTGTAAGTGTATGGATCTTTATGAAATTGTACTACAAGGTTCATATCACAAAGGGAAAGCTTGTTTGAGTTTGGGGGTAATTGCCCAAAACGTTAAGCAATAAGGGGCCAAAAAGGGGCCTAAAAACAAGCATTTTTCTAGTTTCCAGACAATAACTTGTGTTCAAGTATATGGATCTCTCTGAAATTGTACTGCAAGGTACCATACCACAAAGGGAAGGCTGGGATTGAGTTTGGGGGTGATGAATCAAAAGGGGGTTCAAAAAATTTGGGGAGGGATTTTTTTTTTCCTTTTTTTCCTTTTTTTTTCTTTAAAGTTTTCCATTTTAAATTGGTTATTTCTGATTTATATATAAAAGCAAATAATAATGATATGGTTTGAATAGGTAAATTAAAATTTTTAAGTTCTTAGACCACATTCATTCTGTGTCAGAAACCTATGCTCTGTCAAATATTTAATCACAATCCAAATTCAGTGCTGTATCAAGCTTGAATGTTGTGTCCATACTTGCCCCAACTGTTCAGGGTTCGACCTCTGCGGTCGTATCAAGCTGCGCCCAGTGGAGAATTTTCTTATTAATGCGAATAATGCGACTGAATAAGTATCACAATAATATAAATTTGCATTCTCATAACTGTTTACAAATTTTCCTGACATCGCAATAATTAATCTTGCATTTTTGTCCATTATTCAAAATTTCGCAATAATAAATGCATGCAATAATTTCTGAATTTGCAGTACTAATTCTACTAATTGAAAAATCATGTCTTTTTACACTCATATATTTGCTGTTGTTTTCCCGATCCTAGTGAATGTTCTTATTTAACAGCAGAATTGAAAGTCTTTTTGTTTATGCAAGGTCTGATATATTTTTTTTTTACATATGTTATTTGTGTTTTACAGATCCCTTTACTGTGGAGAGAATACAGTACAACAAGATGATAGGACATCTAAATTGACAAAGAAACATTGGAAAGAAATTCACTCCAATCAAAATACACAACACAATGTCCATCCTGTACATATGGTGGTTAATCAGAGCCAGTATACAGCTGGGCAATATCAGGCAGCACAGCAAGTCTGTCAGCAGTTGGGCAATAAAGATAGACAATATCAGGCAGCACAACAGGTGTCTGGCTGCCAGCAGTCGGGCAATAAAGATAGGCAATATCAGGCAGCACAACAGATGCCTGCTTCTCAGCAGTCAAACAATACTACTGGGCAGTATCCTTATCAGGTAACATCTCAGTTGCCCACTTATCAGAAATCAGTTAATACTGCTAGGCAATACCAGAATCAGGCAACACATCAGATACCCACAGGTCACCATTTAGGTAGCCTACCTGCCTACCAACAACAGAATACTCGTCAAGGTGGGGCTATGGCGAATCCATTGTTGAACATTCATCCAAGTGCTAACAGAGGTATTATCCCACACAATACACAGGATACTAATCAAAGACCACCTCACCATACAACAACATATGTTATTTCCTCAAACCGATACCAACCAACATTTCAACCAACTAGTCAAAATGAGATTACAGGACAACCTGCATATCCACAAGTTAATCCATCTTCATATGCCAATCAACCAACATTTCAACCAACTGGGCAATCATCACAAATTAATGGTAGTCAGCCAATATTTCAACCATCTAGACAACCATCACAGGTAGTTGGTAATTATCATACATTTCTAACAGGTGGTCAGCCAATTAATAGTACAAATATGAATGTACCCACAATGCAGCAGTCTTTTCAGACTTCACAGCCTATAGTCAATAACCAAATGAATTATCTGTACAATAGTAATACAGCTTCTGAAATACATCAGGATACTGTAACTGGACATAACAGAACAACTTTGTCAAGACAAGAAAGTAGAGAGAAAATCAATGCTAATAAGAAGAGTCCTTTGTTAAGACAGATGGTGTCTTCAAATACTTTTTCCAGTTCTGTGTCCAATTTACAACAACAAAAAGATGGGCATACAAACCAACAGTCAATAACTAGTGTTGCTCATCAAAGCATTAAAAAGACACCGTCACAGAAAAACAGATCTTCGCCAAACAGAGAAAACTCCAGTCCATCATTGGCTAATAATGTTTCTAACAGGAGTAGATCTTGGTCTGCAGACTCAAACAGAAATGAAACTCCTCCAAGTTGTAGTAGAACTACCCCTGATTTACCAGGTATTAATGGACAAAATCCTTCTTTCTCTAGTAATGAAAGACAACCCTTATTATTACCAAGTGCAAAACGAAGAAAATTATCAGATTCTGACAATCCTAAAGCAAGAAGAAGACTAAGTACAACCAGTCAGGAAGGTGATCATCATCAGAATATAGAATCTAGTAAAGGAATTCTGACAGACAATAATATATCTTCACAAACATCTACTCTAGCCTCATCAGGACTTAGTACTACACCACAAACATCAGGGATACCTACCACACCATCCGCATCAGGACAAGTGGCCACGCCATCCAAAGCCGGAATAGCCACCACACCATCCACATCAGGTCTAGCTACCACACCATCCACATCATGGCTACCTACCACACCATCCACATCAGCACTATCAGCCACACCATCCACCTCAGAGCTAGTGGCCTCACCATCTACATCAGGGCTAGCCACCACACCATCCACTTCAGGGCAAGCTACCACACCATCCACTTTAGGGCTAGCTACCACACCATCCACATCAGGGCTAGCCACCACACCATCTACTTCAGGGCAAGCTACCACACCATCCACATTAGGGCTAGCTACCACACCATCCACATCAGGGCTAGCTGCCACACCATCCACTTCAAAACCTACTAAAACACCAACAATATCAGAGGTTGCTAAAACTTCATCCACATTAGAACTTACATCACCTTCAGCATCAGGGAATACTGCAACAGCATCAGGATCAGTTACTACTCCATCAAGGTCAAGCGAAGGACAAAACTTTATGAGACAACTTAACTTCCAGAGACCAGAAGGTAAAGAAAATATATGAAAAAAGGCTTTTTTTGTTGTTTGGTTAAAAGATATTGGAAATTTCTCAGAAATGCCTTTAAAAAGAATCAGCTCTTAAGTGGCATATAACACTCAAGTAGACTGGATGTAGACATTGGCCCACATTATATTTATGATTATTAAATTAAAAACCTTGTTAAGTTATCTTTATTTTAAGCTGAAATAGAACAATCTGAAGTTTAAGTGTACTTGATAAGAAGCTTAGATTTATCTGATTTATAGACGTGTCCAGATTGTAAGGCTTGATACAATTGTAACTTATTGGATGTTTTTGGTTTTATCAGTCTACATGGAAACAGATGTGCAGTCTTACATTTCATTTCTAAAAAGAATTTACACATTTTAAAAAATATTACTGTAATATTACAAAATTACTGTTATAGGTAATACTAAAAAATTCTTTTGAAATTTTAAAAAGTTTTTATCTGTCCACAGGTATTTTTTATTTTGATGGTTTGAATTAGCATTCTGAAGATTTTAGGGTTTAAATAGTTGTATAAAAGTTTGAAAAGATGATGGGGAGAACATGTGTCATTAACAATCACTTTGTGAAAAAATCAAATCAGGTGAAAAACTTGTGGACTAAACTGTATAAAAATGTATGGTAATTTAATGAAAATAAGATGATTTGAAATTCAAATTTGCTCTGAAATTGCTTAGCTAAGTTTAATGGCATAGTTAATAAATTAAAAATGGGTAACAGTTTAATGACCCTTCCTAATAAGAGACCAGCTGCAGTGACAGATGTATAATGTATAGATGTTGTAATGTAATGGTAACCACTTCACAGTATATAGATATTTATCCAATGGAATCATTAATGAGATTTGATACATCTAGTGAATTTAAATCAGTCAAAATTGATTTTGTGTTCATTTGATAAACTTTAGAAGAAATTGCATTTGTTTTCAAACTTTGAGAATTAACAACACTCACAAAATAAATAAATCCTTAGTATTCTCTATTGTTACCTAATAAAGAAGTTTAACCTTTTGGATTTTCCTGATCAAAATTGTTTTAAAGTATTGCCTTTATATAGAAATGTGTTGGTTATCACAGATATTGAAATGTACTTTTTATACGACCGCAAAAAAATTTTTGTGGTCGTATATTGGTATGACGTTGGCGTCGTCGTCGTCGTCGTTGTCCGGCGTCGGCGTCGTCCGAAGACACATTGGTTTTCGCACTCTAACTTTAGTTTAAGTGAATGGATCTTTATGAAATTTTACCACAAGGTTCAATACCACAAAAGGAAGGTTGGGATTGATTTTGGGGGTTATGGTAATAACAGTAAAGGAATTAGGGGCCAAAAATAAGCATTTTTGTAACTTCCAGACATAACTTGTGTGTTAGTGTATGGATCTCTCTGACATTGTACCACAAGGTTCCATATCACAAAGGGAATGCTGGGATTGATTTTGGGGGTAATTGCCTCCAAATTTTAGGAATTAGGGGCCAATAAAGGGGCAAAAAACAAGCATTTTTCTAGTTTCATGACAATAACTTGTGTGTAATTGTATGGATCTTTCTGAAATTGTACTACAAGGTTCCATATCACAAAGGGAAAGCTTGAATTGAGTTTGGGGGTAATTGCCCAAAAACGTTTAGGAATAAGGAGCCAAAAATAAGCATTTTTCTAGTTACCAGACAATAACTTGTGTTCAAGTGTATGGATCTCTCTGAAATTGTACTGCAAGGTACCATACCACAAAGGGAAGGCTGGGATTGATTTTGGGGGTAATTGCCTCAAAATTTTAGGAATTAGGGGCCAAAAAGGGGCAAAAAACAAGCATTTTTCTAGTTTCAGGACAATAACTTGTGTGTAAGTGTATGGATCTTTATGAAATTGTACTACAAGGTTCATATCACAAAGGGAAAGCTTGTTTGAGTTTGGGGGTAATTGCCCAAAACGTTTAGCAATAAGGGGCCAAAAAGGGGCCTAAAAACAAGCATTTTTCTAGTTTCCAGACAATAACTTGTGTTCAAGTGTATGGATCTCTCTGAAATTGTACTGCAAGGTACCATACCACAAAGGGAAGGCTGGGATTGAGTTTGGGGGTGATGAATCATAATGGGGGTTCAAAAAATTTTGGGGGGGGGATTTATTTTTTTTTCCTTTTTTTTCTTTTTTTCCTTTTTTGTTTCTTTTAAAATTTTCCATTTTAAGTTGGTTATTTCTGATTTATATTTAAAATCAAATAATAATGATATGGTAGGAGATACACACCAAACAGGATGTGTAAATTATTATATAATAAGTATTGTGCAATAGCAAGAAATTTTCAATTGCACAGTATTGCACAATAGCAAGAAATCTTCAATTGCACAGTATTGCGCAATAGCAAGAAATATCCAATAGCACAATATTGCGCAATAGCAAGAAATTGTCAATTGTACAGTATTGCGCAATAGCAAGAAATATTTAATAGCATAGGATTGTGCAAAAGAAGATACTTCCTATAAATTGCTTATTTCTTGACCAATTTCAATGGGGTTTTATTCTTGATTTCATGGGGTTCTTTAATATGCTGAATATAACCGTGTATTTAGTTTTTGGATTTTGGGCCCCGTTTTTAAATTGGTCCACATTGAGGTCCAAAGGGTCCAAAATTAAACTTTGTTTGATTTCATCAAAAATTGAATTATTGGGGTTCTTTGATATGCCGAATCTAACTGTGTATTTAGATTCTTAAATTTTGGTTCCGTTTTCAAATTGGTCTACATTAAGGTCCAAAGGGTCCAAAATTAAACTTAGTTTGATTTTAACAAAAATTGAATTCTTAGGGTTCTTTGATATGCTGAATCTAAACATGTATTTAGATTTTTGATTATGGGCCCAGTTTTCAAGTTGGTCCAAATCGGGGTCCAAAATTAAACTTTGTTTGATTTCAACAAAAATTGAATATATGGGGTTCTTTGATATGCTGAATCTAACCATGTATTTAGATTTTTGATTTTTGGGCCCCGTTATCAACTTTGTCCACATTGAGGTCAAAAGGGTCCAAAATTAAACTTTGTTTGATTTCATCAAAAATTGAATTATTGGGGTTCTTTGATATGCCGAATCTAACCGTGTATTTAGATTCTTAATTTTTGGTTCCGTTTTCAAATTGGTCTACATTAAGGTCCAAAGGGTCCAAAATTAAACTTAGTTTGATTTTAACAAAAATTGAATATATGGAGTTCTTTGATATGCCGAATCTAACCATTTATTTAGATTCTTAATTTTTGGTTCCGTTTTCAAATTGGTCTACATTAAGGTCCAAAGGGTCCAAAATTAAACTTAGTTTGATTTTAACAAAAATTGAATTCTTAGGGTTCTTTGATATGCTGAATCTAAACATGTATTTAGATTTTTGATTATGGGCCCAGTTTTCAAGTTGGTCCAAATCGGGGTCAAAATTAAACTTTGTTTGATTTCAACAAAAATTGAATATATGGGGTTCTTTGATATGCTGAATCTAACCATGTATTTAGATTTTTGATTTTTGGGCCCCGTTATCAACTTTGTCCACATTGAGGTCAAAAGGGTCCAAAATTAAACTTTGTTTGATTTCATCAAAAATTGAATTATTGGGGTTCTTTGATATGCCGAATCTAACCGTGTATTTAGATTCTTAATTTTTGGTTCCGTTTTCAAATTGGTCTACATTAAGGTCCAAAGGGTCCAAAATTAAACTTAGTTTGATTTTAACAAAAAATGAATTCTTAGGGTTCTTTGATATGCTGAATCTAAACATGTATTTAGATTTTTGATTATGGGCCCAGTTTTCAAGTTGGTCCAAATCGGGGTCCAAAATTAAACTTTGTTTGATTTCAACAAAAATTGAATATATGGGGTTCTTTGATATGCTGAATCTAACCATGTATTTAGATTTTTGATTTTTGGGCCCCGTTATCAACTTTGTCCACATTGAGGTCAAAAGGGTCCAAAATTAAACTTTGTTTGATTTCATCAAAAATTGAATTCTTGGGGTTCTTTGATATGCTGAATCTAACCATGTATTTAGATTTTGGATATTGGACCATAATAGGTGAATGTCCAATTTAAAATTTTTAAGTTCTTAGACCACATTCAATCTGTGTTAGAAACCTATGCTGTGTCAAATATTTAATCACAATCCAAATCCAAAGCTGTATCAAGCTTGAATGTTGTGTCCATACTTCCCCCAACTGTTCAGGATTCGACCTCTGCGGTCGTATCAAGCTGCGCCCTGCGGAGCATTTTATTAAAGATCTGTTATGTAATATTTGATAATTTAGAAAAATAACTATTGCAGGAAAGCAATTATAATTTAAATTGACATTTTATTTTCAGACATCATTAAAGCCTTCCGGTTTGGACAGGAAATACAACTTCAGGCTATGAATAAAATGATGGAACTAATGAACAAAGATAAAGGTAAGAACAATTATACTGTTAATTCAGATATAGTTTGGCAATGTTTTTATTTTTTCAAAATGTGTTACAGGATAGGTGTTTCAAAACAGGCATTTTAAATTTTGATAGTATTTTTTGTATGTTGTTTTTCTTGAAATTGCAATAATCATTCTTACATTTTTGTCCATCTTTCTAAAATTAGAATGATGAATGTGTGCAAAACTTCTGAATCTACAGCATGCCACAGTTGAATTTTTTTTTTAGATGCTGCATTGTGAAACTCAAAAATTTATGTTTTCAATTTTGAATATTCACAAATTCCTCCATTGAAAGTGAAGGATTATTTCATTTAACAGAATGCAGATACAGAGCTTGTTCTTTTCAATTAACTTTTAGCACCATTCAAATGGACTGTGTCATAAATTTTTTTTCACTCAAGTACAATACATGTAAATACCCTATCACAATAAGAAAACTTAAAAATGACATTTTTTATTCAATGATAATCCAAGGAAGGATCAAATAAATACAAGCTTACTTCAACTTTGAAGAACATTCAGGAGATAACAGTATTGTGTTTAAAGATTTGCAGGCATCAATTGATGATTTCTTGGTCACTTGGTACTTTAATAGCAAGAGGTAAGCTACCAGTACAATACTGTTATATCCATATTATATATATTATTCTATATTATACACTAAATGAATATAAGTAATTTGATTTTAATTATTAAACTACTTTTATTTTAAGAAAATTATGAACAGTTGGAGAAAGAGTTGGAAATGGAGAAAGCTAGTCATGTAAATGCTCAAAGGAAACTGGAGCAATTAGAAAGTAAGAATAACAAAATCAAATCTTTTTGCTATTAGCCAACAAATGAATGGCGAAAATAAGTTTGAACATACATTTAGCTGATTCAGCTTGCATGTTCATTGTAACTGACTACCGGTTTACTGTGATTTTTATGGTCCCACCACAAAGTGGTCTGAGCCATATAGTTTTACCCTAATCCGTCATTCTGTCATTCCGCAACGAACAGTTATACAGACTTTTTTCCAAATCGCCTTCACGTATTGAGTTGATTTCTAGTATGTGAGTCTACTATGATGAGTTACAGATCGAGTTTAAGTTTCATTCTGCTCTGCTGATTTTTGCCGTAATTACGGGCTTTGGACGTTGAAAATTTCATGAAAATAACAGTTATACAGACTTTCATTCCCAAATTTCCAAGCTTTTTTGCAAGCGAGTCATTTGTGTCATTTCGATACATCTAGTTGTTGAGCCTGCGACTTCTGTTGCAGAAAGCTCGACATAGGAATAGTGATCCAGTGGGGGCAGCGGCGTTAACTAACTACTTAAAAGCTTTATATTTTAGAAGCTGGAAGACCTGGATGCTTCATAATTTGTATATAGATGCCTTATGTTATGAAGTTTCTGTCTGTCATATGTCCATTGTCCTTGACCTCATTTTCCTGGTTCAGTGACTACTTGAAAACAAAGTTAATATTTTTTGTAAAGTTAATTTCTCTCTTATTATGAGTAATAGGATAACTATATATAGTACCGTATAGCGGGTTATTTTCGCGGGTGTAAATTTTCGCGATTTTCATTGAATAAGGTATACGAAATATTTTGGCGGTTATTATTTTGGCGGATTCAAAACTTTTATCAATACCTTTGCATGTGCCGTGTTAAATTGGCGGAATTTATTTTGGCGATTTTGTTCTATCCGCGAAAATAAGCGAAAATTTGCACCCCTCGAAAATAACCCGCTATACGGTATGTGCGTACCTTGCAAGGTCCTCATGCCTGTCAGACAGTTTTCATCTGACCTCGACCTCATTTCATGGATTAGTTAACAAGGTTAAGTTTTCGTGGTCAAGTCCATATATCAGATACTATAAGCAATAGGTCTACTATATTTGGTGTATGGAATGATTGTAAGTAGTACATGTCCAGCTGGCAGGTGTCATCTGACCTTGACCACATTTTCATGGTTCACTTCCGTGGTTAAAGTTAAGTTTTTGTGTTTTGGTCTTTTTTCTAATACTATATGCAATAGGTCAACTATATTTGGTGTATGGAAATATTTTAAGATGTACATGTCTGTCTGGCAGGTTTAATTTGACCTTGACCTCATTTTCATGGTTTATTGGTCAGTGTTAAGTTTTTGTGTTTTGGTCTGTTTTTCTTAAACTATAAGCAATAGGTCAACTATATTTGGTGTATGGAATTATTGTAAGGTGTATATGTCTGTCTGGCAGGTATCATCTGACCTTGACCTCATTTTCATGGTTCATTAGTCAATGTTAAATTTTCATGGTTAAGTTTGTTTCTTAGATATTATAAGCAATAGGTCAACTATATTTAATGCATAGATTAATTGTAAAGTGAACATGTCTGTCTGGCATGGTTCATCTGACCTTGACCTCATTTTCATGGTTCATTGGTCAATGTTAAATTTTCATGGTTAAGTTTAGAAACTATAAGCAATAGGTCAACTATATTTTGTGTATGGAATGATTGTAAGGTGTACATGTATTTCCAGTGTGGTTTATCTGACCTTGGCCTCATTTTCTTGGATTATGTTAGGTTTATGTGATACTTGTAGTAAAGCTTTATATATAGGACTCTCAACATAAAATCAATGATCAGTAAAGCAGGCGAGACATTTCAGTGTGTGCACTCTTGTTTATAATATATGTACACTGACATGATAAGGGCCCTGTAGTCGGTCTATCTATCCGTCTGCACTTCTATGTGGTATGATAAATCAACCAATTTCAATAATTTTGGTCTCATATTGAGGAAGTTGTGAAGTTAAAACTATGGCAAGCTGGTTCAGTCAGCGTCAACAATTGGTAAAAGATTGTGATTAGGTCATTTTAAGGCGTAAGTCAATGATATTTGGTATGCATTTGAAATAGTATAAGCACATCTCTTATTTTTGATTGATGCACTGTATATTTCTTATAATATTCTGTATAAAATTAATGAACATGGCTGATTTATTTTTACATACTCTATTTTTTTTATATTTTCAGGACAGTTTGGAACAATAATGGATTGTCTTCATAAAAAGTCATGATCCTTTCCTCCAATGAATTGATGTTACTTGATGAGTCCCTTTATTAGAAATCCATCAGACAAAATAGTGCCAAATGATATAAGTGTAAATAAATGTAGATAATTCTGTATATAACAGCATTTTAGTGCAATTGGATTATAATTCCGTCTGGTACATGTACTTTAGTTGTTTAGGGGGAGATAACAAAGTATTAAGGGGCTATAACTCCTTTTTTAATATTTTATATAGGGCTTTAAATATTGTTTTAATCTAACAAATGTTTATAGTTTCATGACAATTTGTAAGGCAGCAACAGTATCAGTTATGATTTGTAGTAATTTTGTAGAGTCACATTTTATTGAACCATGCTAATCCACACAATATTGCAGCAATATATTTACACATAACCATTGAAAATTTTTACACTATTCAATCACTTTATCTATTTTTTGAACCATAGAATTTGTCTTTTGACTTTATTTTATCAGAATAAACTTTCCCTTTAATAGAATAATTTCATCTTGCTTTGAAATATGCAATAAAAAATGTATGGGGGGCGGGTTGAAAACCACATGATTTTTCTGAAAGTAAAAGGGTTGGAAGCAAATGTCAATCTGAAATAAATGAGAACAAAAATTATGGGTAAAAATTATCATAAAAATATGTTTGGTACTAACATGTACTAATATAAAAATAAGGAGATGTGGTATGATTGCCAATGAGACAACTTTCCACCAAAGTTCAAATGAAGTGGATGTAAGCAATTATAGGCTAACCATGGTAATGGACTGTATTATACTAATTTTAACGAGACTGGGACAAGGTACCAGTATTTGATGTATCAATAACACATGTACAATCTGAATAAAACCTTATATAATTCTAAAAAAAGTATGTTTGGTCCAACCCCTGCCCCTATACATTTTTTTCTTGAGAGAAGTCCTTACTGAAGGATTTAAGTGTAACATGTTTACAGTTATATAGTCACATTGCATCATGTTATTGAAACCAACAAACCCACACATTGTGTTCATATTGTACTTCTACATTTATTGTCTTTTAACACTTTTATATTTGCTATTCAATTATGAAAAGTTTTTTTCTTTGTGTGAACTGCTGTCTTCATTTATTGTGTTGTTATATTTGATAGCTATGTTCGTTTCATAAGATATGAATAACCACTGTCAATGCTCAGGTTTGTCTTAATTTGATTATGTATTTTTTTTGTCTGCTGATATTAACTGCTGCTTTTTTTAAATTTATTTATTTCCAAACCTGTAATATAAATTTTGTATGGAATTTGTTGAAAAAACTTTTTTTTGTTCATTTCAATGTTTTTAATTTGAATTTAAATAATGAGGATGTGTTACAAGTTTGAAAACATTTGGGGACGTAAAGTAAAGACAGAAAAATAATTCTTACGTAAATTAATTTATATCTTAAAATATTTTTAAACAAATATTGAAAAGAGTAAGAAACTTAACAAGAAAAATTCTTCTTTGTTCAAGTTAATGCTGAAGCATAAAATGTTTTATTGATGAATACTACCAATAACCAAATTAAAATTCAATTTTATTCTTCAATTATGACTTCAGCATGCTATTTGTAGTAATAAGAGGTATTTCTGTTTTGACAGAGGTCATTAGCATATTTATAGAAAATAAGAGTACTACATATGATCACATATGGTAGGACAGGATATTTCTTTCTTCAATTTTTGTAAATATTTGATGACACTAAACTGTATGAAGAATAAAATGAATATTTTTAAGTGCCAAAGTGTACTTACTAGAGAAAACATTGTGTGCCAAATGATTTTATGTGTAAACTCAGAATCTTAAAAGTGTTCACATAAATTGTTATAAAATTTTATTGTTATTGTTTTTGTTACCATTTTCATGTAATGATCTCATTCAGATGTAGCAAGTTATGTGTTATCTCTCTCTATATAATGTGTAGAATGTTATTCCTGCAAGAATAAAAAAAGAATTGTATTCAAATTAAAAAGAAGGAGATGTGGTATGATTGCCAATGAGACAACTGTCCACCTACTACAAAAAGATGTGATATGATTGCCAATGAGACAACTTCAATTTTCATGGTTGAGTCAGATTCTATAAGTAATAAGTTAACTATATTTGTTGTAAAGAATGGTTGTATAAAGGTACATGTTAGTCTGGCAGGTTTCATCTGACTTAATGACTTCATTTTTATGGTTTGATTTGTTTCTATATTTGGTGTATAAATGATTGTTAAGTGTATATGTCTGTCTTGTAGGGTTTAAGTCAGTAGCTTGTTGTTCAGTTGTTGTCGTTTGTTGGTGTGGTTCATAGGTGTTTCTCTTTTCTTGTTTTTTATATAGATTAGACTTGGTTTTCTCGGTGTGATCCAAGGCTCCGTGTTGAAGGCCGTACTTTGACCTATAATTGTTAACTTTTTATACATTGTGACCTAGATGGAGAGTTGTCTCATTGGCACTCATACCACATCTTCTTATTTATATTATCTGAAGTTTTGGTTTTCAATGCTTTTCAACTTTGTTATTAATTTGGCCTTCCAACTTTTTATACGACCGCAAAAAAATTTTTGTGGTCGTATATTGGTATGACATTGGCGTCGTCGTCGTCGTCGTCGTCGTCCGGCGTCGTCCGAAGACACATTGGTTTTCGCACTCTAACTTTAGTTTAAGTGAATGGATCTTTATGAAATTTTACCACAAGGTTCAATACCACAAAAGGAAGGTTGGGATTGATTTTGGGGGTTATGGTAATAACAGTAAAGGAATTAGGGGCCAAAAAGGGGCCAAAAATAAGCATTTTTATACGACCGCAAAAAAATTTTTGTGGTTGTATATTGGTATGACGTTGGCGTCGTCGTCGTCCGGCGTCGTCGTCGTCCGGCGTCGTCTGGCGTCGTCCGAAGACACATTGGTTTTCGCACTCTAACTTTAGTTTAAGTGAATGGATCTTTATGAAATTTTACCACAAGGTTCAATACCACAAAAGGAAGGTTGGGATTGATTTTGGGGGTTATGGTAATAACAGTAAAGGAATTAGGGGCCAAAAAGGGGCCAAAAATAAGCATTTTTGTAACTTCCAGACATAACTTGTGTGTTAGTGTATGGATCTCTCTGACATTGTACCACAAGGTTCCATATCACTAAAGGAATGCTGGGATTGATTTTGGGGGTAATTGCCTCCAAATTTTAGGAATTAGGGGCCAAAAAAGGGGCAAAAAACAAGCATTTTTCTAGTTTCATGACAATAACTTGTGTGTAAGTGTATGGATCTTTCTGAAATTGTACTACAAGGTTCCATATCACAAAGGGAAAGCTGGGTTTGAGTTTGGGGGTAATTGCCCTAAACGTTTAGGAATTTGGGGCCAAAAAGGGGCCAAAAAACACATTTTTTTCTAGTTTCCAGACAATAACTTGTGTTCAAGTGTATGGATCTCTCTGAAATTGTACTGCAAGGTACCATACCACAAAGGGAAGGCTGGGATTGAGTTTGGGGGTGATGAATCATAATGGGGGTTCAAAAAATTTTGGGGGGGGATTTATTTTTTTTTCCTTTTTTTTCTTTTTTTCTTTTTTTGTTTCTTTTAAAATTTTCCATTTTAAGTCGGTTATTTCTGATTTATATTTAAAATCAAATAATAATGATATGGTAGGAGATACACACCAAACAGGATGTGTAAATTATTATATAATAAGTATTGTGCAATAGCAAGAAATTTTCAATTGCACAGTATTGCACAATAGCAAGAAATCTTCAATTGCACAGTATTGCGCAATAGCAAGAAATCTTCAATTGCACAGTATTGCGCAATAGCAAGAAATATCCAATAGCACAATATTGCACAATAGCAAGAAATTGTCAATTGTACAGTATTGCGCAATAGCAAGAAATATTTAATAGCACAGGATTGTGCAAAAGAAGATACTTCCTATAAATTGCTTATTTCTTGACCAATTTCAATGGGGTTTTATTCTTGATTTCATGGGGTTCTTTAATATGCTGAATCTAACCGTGTATTTAGTTTTTGGATTTTGGGCCCCGTTTTTAAATTGGTCCACATTGAGGTCCAAAGGGTCCAAAATTAAACTTTGTTTGATTTCATCAAAAATTGAATTATTGGGGTTCTTTGATATGCCGAATCTAACTGTGTATTTAGATTCTTAAATTTTGGTTCCGTTTTCAAATTGGTCTACATTAAGGTCCAAAGGGTCCAAAATTAAACTTAGTTTGATTTTAACAAAAATTGAATTCTTAGGGTTCTTTGATATGCTGAATCTAAACATGTATTTAGATTTTTGATAATGGGCCCAGTTTTCAAGTTGGTCCAAATCGGGGTCCAAAATTAAACTTTGTTTGATTTCAACAAAAATTGAATATATGGGTTTCTTTGATATGCTGAATCTAACCATGTATTTAGATTTTTGATTTTTGGGCCCCGTTATCAACTTTGTCCACATTGAGGTCAAAAGGGTCCAAAATTAAACTTTGTTTGATTTCATCAAAAATTGAATTATTGGGGTTCTTTGATATGCCGAATCTAACCGTGTATTTAGATTCTTAATTTTTGGTTCCGTTTTCAAATTGGTCTACATTAAGGTCCAAAGGGTCCAAAATTAAACTTAGTTTGATTTTAACAAAAATTGAATTCTTAGGGTTCTTTGATATGCTGAATCTAAACATGTATTTAGATTTTTGATTATGGGCCCAGTTTTCAAGTTGGTCCAAATCGGGGTCCAAAATTAAACTTTGTTTGATTTCAACAAAAATTGAATATATGGGGTTCTTTGATATGCTGAATCTAACCATGTATTTAGATTTTTGATTTTTGGGCCCCGTTATTAACTTTGTCCACATTGAGGTCAAAAGGGTCCAAAATTAAACTTTGTTTGATTTCATCAAAAATTGAATTATTGGGGTTCTTTGATATGCCGAATCTAACCGTTTATTTAGATTCTTAATTTTTGGTTCCGTTTTCAAATTGGTCTACATTAAGGTCCAAAGGGTCCAAAATTAAACTTAGTTTGATTTTAACAAAAATTGAATTCTTAGGGTTCTTTGATATGCTGAATCTAAACATGTATTTAGATTTTTGATTATGGGCCCAGTTTTCAAGTTGGTCCAAATCGGGGTCCAAAATTAAACTTTGTTTGATTTCAACAAAAATTGAATATATGGGGTTCTTTGATATGCTGAATCTAACCATGTATTTAGATTTTTGATATTTGGGCCCCGTTATCAACTTTGTCCACATTGAGGTCAAAAGGGTCCAAAATTAAACTTTGTTTGATTTCATCAAAAATTGAATTATTGGGGTTCTTTGATATGCCGAATCTAACCGTGTATTTAGATTCTTAATTTTTGGTTCCGTTTTCAAATTGGTCTACATTAAGGTCCAAAGGGTCCAAAATTAAACTTAGTTTGATTTTAACAAAAATTGAATTCTTAGGGTTCTTTGATATGCTGAATTTAAACATGTATTTAGATTTTTGATTATGGGCCCAGTTTTCAAGTTGGTCCAAATCGGGGTCCAAAATTAAACTTTATTTGATTTCAACAAAAATTGAATATATGGGGTTCTTTGATATGCTGAATCTAACCATGTATTTAGATTTTTGATTTTTGGGCCCCGTTATCAACTTTGTCCACATTGAGGTCAAAAGGGTCCAAAATTAAACTTTGTTTGATTTCATCAAAAATTGAATTATTGGGGTTCTTTGATATGCTGAATCTAACCATGTATTTAGATTTTGGATATTGGACCATAATAGGTGAATGTCCAATTTAAAATTTTTAAGTTCTTAGACCACATTCAATCTGTGTTAGAAACCTATGCTGTGTCAAATATTTAATCACAATCCAAATGCAAAGCTGTATCAAGCTTGAATGTTGTGTCCATACTTGCCCCAACTGTTCAGGGTTCGACCTCTGCGGTCGTATCAAGCTGCGCCCTGCGGAGCATTTTATTGTAACTTCCAGACATAACTTGTGTGTTAGTGTATGGATCTCTCTGACATTGTACCACAAGGTTCCATATCACAAAAGGAATGCTGGGATTGATTTTGGGGGTAATTGCCTCCAAATTTTAGGAATTAGGGGCCAAAAAAGGGGCAAAAAACAAGCATTTTTCTAGTTTCATGACAATAACTTGTGTGTAAGTGTATGGATCTTTCTGAAATTGTACTACAAGGTTCCATATCACAAAGGGAAAGCTGGGTTTGAGTTTGGGGGTAATTGCCCTAAACGTTTAGGAATTTGGGGCCAAAAAGGGGCCAAAAAACACATTTTTTTCTAGTTTCCAGACAATAACTTGTGTTCAAGTGTATGGATCTCTCTGAAATTGTACTGCAAGGTACCATACCACAAAGGGAAGGCTGGGATTGAGTTTGGGGGTGATGAATCATAATGGGGGTTCAAAAAATTTTGGGGGGGGATTTATTTTTTTTTCCTTTTTTTTCTTTTTTTCCTTTTTTGTTCCTTTTAAAATTTTCCATTTTAAGTTGGTTATTTCTGATTTATATTTAAAATCAAATAATAATGATATGGTAGGAGATACACACCAAACAGGATGTGTAAATTATTATATAATAAGTATTGTGCAATAGCAAGAAATTTTCAATTGCACAGTATTGCACAATAGCAAGAAATCTTCAATTGCACAGTATTGCGCAATAGCAAGAAATCTTCAATTGCACAGTATTGCGCAATAGCAAGAAATATCCAATAGCACAATATTGCGCAATAGCAAGAAATTGTCAATTGTACAGTATTGCGCAATAGCAAGAAATATTTAATAGCACAGGATTGTGCAAAAGAAGATACTTCCTATAAATTGCTTATTTCTTGACCAATTTCAATGGGGTTTTATTCTTGATTTCATGGGGTTCTTTAATATGCTGAATCTAACCGTGTATTTAGTTTTTGGATTTTGGGCCCCGTTTTTAAATTGGTCCACATTGAGGTCCAAAGGGTCCAAAATTAAACTTTGTTTGATTTCATCAAAAATTGAATTATTGGGGTTCTTTGATATGCCGAATCTAACTGTGTATTTAGATTCTTAAATTTTGGTTCCGTTTTCAAATTGGTCTACATTAAGGTCCAAAGGGTCCAAAATTAAACTTAGTTTGATTTTAACAAAAATTGAATTCTTAGGGTTCTTTGATATGCTGAATCTAAACATGTATTTAGATTTTTGATTATGGGCCCAGTTTTCAAGTTGGTCCAAATCGGGGTCCAAAATTAAACTTTGTTTGATTTCAACAAAAATTGAATATATGGGGTTCTTTGATATGCTGAATCTAACCATGTATTTAGATTTTTGATTTTTGGGCCCCGTTATCAACTTTGTCCACATTGAGGTCAAAAGGGTCCAAAATTAAACTTTGTTTGATTTCATCAAAAATTGAATTATTGGGGTTCTTTGATATGCCGAATCTAACCGTGTATTTAGATTCTTAATTTTTGGTTCCGTTTTCAAATTGGTCTACATTAAGGTCCAAAGGGTCCAAAATTAAACTTAGTTTGATTTTAACAAAAATTGAATTCTTAGGGTTCTTTGATTTGCTGAATCTAAACATGTATTTAGATTTTTGATTATGGGCCCAGTTTTCAAGTTGGTCCAAATCGGGGTCCAAAATTAAACTTTGTTTGATTTCAACAAAAATTGAATATATGGGGTTCTTTGATATGCTGAATCTAACCATGTATTTAGATTTTTGATTTTTGGGCCCCGTTATCAACTTTGTCCACATTGAGGTCAAAAGGGTCCAAAATTAAACTTTGTTTGATTTCATCAAAAATTGAATTCTTGGGGTTCTTTGATATGCTGAATCTAACCATGTATTTAGATTTTGGATATTGGACCATAATAGGTGAATGTCCAATTTAAAATTTTTAAGTTCTTAGACCACATTCAATCTGTGTTAGAAACCTATGCTGTGTCAAATATTTAATCACAATCCAAATCCAAAGCTGTATCAAGCTTGAATGTTGTGTCCATACTTCCCCCAACTGTTCAGGGTTCGACCTCTGCGGTCGTATCAAGCTGCGCCCTGCGGAGCATTTTATTAATTTATTTAAGCACCACTGTCAAGTCTTATGGTGAGGAAATGCAGGTCTGGAATAACCAATTTTAACCCTGGTATCTGTGATAAGTTTTTACAAGGTCAGGTCTAGAAACAGCTTTACTACATCTTTCCTACTGTACCTTCAAAAGACATTGGGTAGAATACTTTCATCAAACTTTTCTTAGCCTCTACAGATAGGAAGGATTTTAAATTTGGTTTGCAGCTTGATAATGTTCAGTTATAGTGTGTAAGCAATTTTTACATTCGTCATTCAGCCACTTCCTGACATTTTGAAATATTACAAGACCCATTGGTATTGTATAAGGAAAATTTCTGTCCAAGTTTTCCTTGACCTCAATCAAAGGGAATAATTTTATATTTGGTCTGCAGCTTGATAATGTTGAGTTGAATTGTTAAGCAATTTTTACATCAGTGGTGCAACAACTTCCTGTTTGCTGATAGTTTGAAATTTTACATTATTCTTTGTACAAGGTAAATTTTCGTCAAACTACTTGGCATCTATTGAAAGTAATGATCAGTTATGCCTCAGTATACATGTAACCTTAATCAATTGCATGGAGCAACGCAGGTCCAGATTGGGTATTGTGTTTCTTTAACTCATATCATTTGGTTTATTGGTCAATGTTGAGTTTGCTTGGTTCAGGCTCTAAGATACTATAAGCAATATGTCAAACATATTTGGTAGATCGAATGTATGCATGATGAACATGTCTGCCTGGCAGTATTATTTGACCTTGACCTCATTTTGGTGGTTCATCGGTCAATGTCAAGTTTTCCTAGATAGAAATGGTCTTCAGATACTATAAGCAATAGGTTAGCTATATTTAGTGTACAGAAAGATTGTAAGGTGTACATGTCTGTCTGGCAGGTTACATCTCACCTTGACCTCATTTTTATGGTTTGGTTTGTTTCATCAATTATAATGTAAAAAAAATAAATGGGGCACATATGATGCCCCCGTTTGCATATAATGTTATAAAGGGATTGACTTATGAAACGTATACACAATGCTTATTGCCACAAAACTCAGATCAAGTACAAATTTGGGTAGCGTCACTTTTACAGTTCTTGACAATTGGTTGAGGCAAACTAAAGTAAGAGAACGGTAACGAAAAATTCAGCAATTTTTCCATTTGTAGAGGGGCGTAACTCTAGAACGGCAAAAGTGACGCCACCAAAATTCAAACTTGATCTGTGTTTTGTGGTTATAAGCATTGTGTATAAGTTTCATATTTGGTTGAGGCAAACTAAAGTTAAAGAACGGAAACGAAAAAATTCAGCAATTTTTCCATTTATAAAGGGGCATAACTCTAGAATGGTAAAAGTGACGCCACCAAAATTCAAACTTGATCTGTGTTTTGTGGTAATAAGCATTGTGTATAAGTTTCATAACATTTGGTTGAGGCAAACTGAAGTTATAGAACGGAAACAAAAAAATTTAGCAATTTTTCCATTTGTAAAGGGGCATAACTCTAGAATGGTTAAAGTGATGCCACCAATATTCAAACTTGATCTGTGTTTTGTGGTAATAAGCATTGTGTATAAGTTTCATAACATTTGGTTGAGGCAAACTAAAGTTAGAGAACGGAAACCAATTTTGGGACGCACGTACGCTACGGCGGGGGCATAAAAAAACAATGTAATGTTTATTGTGTAGTTTGTTTCATTTTCTGATGGCTGTCTCATTGACATGTATTTCATTTATTCATACTCTGTGATTACAAATTCAAAGTTTCAATTGTTATGCATCCTGATATGACTGCATGAAGTGTGCCTTCTCTTAAACATGATATCTACTGTTTGACCCAAGTCAACTATATGTAATGCAGTGGTTGTGATGCTCACTGCCTATCATACGTTTGTACATTAGGATGTTGGTTTTTTTGTTTGAATTGTTTTACATTTTACAACTTACTATACAGTATGGGTTTTGCTCATTGTTGGAGGCTATACAGCAACCTATAGTTGTGTAATCTATGTCATTTGGTATCTGGTGGATAGTTGTCTCATTGACAATCATACCACATCTTCTTATTTTTATACTTATCAAAATTAACACTAAGCAAAAGTTTCAAAGTCAAAAGACCATGACTGAAGTGGCTAGGCCAAATAATCTCCATGGAAATGAGATGTGCCAATGCTCATACAACTGCATACCAAATATCATTGACCTACCATTAGGGTTGACACAAAAAAAATAGCAAAAAGAACAATGAAAACAAATAACACTTTTAAGCTATTTATTTAAACAATAATTCACCAATCACGATTCAGTTTTACAAAACAACATTTCTGATGGATCTTATTTTGATTCTTCAATGAAAACACAAATAGCAAAAAGCTATGGATTATTCAAATCTTAATGCCAGACAGATTTTTACCTTTGAGAAATTAAAATGCAATCTACACCTAATATATCCTTCATTGTGTATAAAAAAGCAAAAAAAAAAATAATGGATCTACGAAACGGAAGGAGTATTACTATGAGTGCTATGCATTTAACTTTGTTTAACTAAAAAGTAAAAAGTAGGTAAAAATTTTTAGGCAAATACAAAAGCTTTAAATGGCAAGAACTATCGAATGCGTGTTCATTTCTGACTGGTTAATTATTTACTTAATAGCTTAACTCGAAAGACCAGTTTGATTGATAATCAATCTTATGTTAAGCAAAACTAATAACTTAGCTAAAAGTTAAGGCAATAAAAATATGTAATAGTTTACATGATTTTATATAAAATTAACATCACTTATAATTATAACCTATGCTAAAACATACATACTAATAACAAAAGCGAAAGTTGAGGGAATACAACCTTCATATATAACTATGATATCTATTGGTCAATTCAAGTGCACACACACACCTACTTTTAGAAATATTTATGACATGCACATTTCCAAATTAACACCTCTAAGCTATCATTAATATAGCACCTCAATACAATGAATAGTTGTATACCCTCTAATGAATTATTATGACAATAAATTCAGATCTATATTTGACAAGCAAATACATTTACAAATCAGAAGAGTGGTACATATTTGACACAGGAGAATGATTTTACTGATTATGCCCTTCTAAACACTGATTACAATGATTACAATGATTAAGCATCCCAAATCTTACTGTTTATAATTCCTTTATGAAGCAATTTGTGTAAAATGAGTTTCCTATTATATCTTTGTGATTAAATGATAAATTGTTTCTCAACATTTGGATGAAAAAATCAAGAAGATAAAATGTAATAAGATCCCTTATTGGGCCTCAAAGTTAAGAACAAATCAGTCAGTCTTCTACTGGGAGAATCAGACTTTGGCATGTGTTCATTAGATTTCAGTTTCATGTGATGTTGGTTTCTCCTGTTGAGGTGGTTGCTCCATAAACTGGTCGATAATTCCCTGCATGCTCTCACGTAAAACATCTGGAGTATCATCTTCTTGTACATTTGTTTCCTCGTGTACAGTTGTGTGTTCTTGTCCATCTTTTAGTACAGTAGTTGTATGAATCTGTTTTGTCATCACCATTCTGAAAACAAAACCATTGACTTAACAGCATTTGAAATAATAAGTTTAACTTCACAGATTTAGACATATGTACAATGGCCAATGGTTTGTACTATGTTACAATAATATACAATAAATCTAAAGAGTAAACAAAGTGGTTTTGTTTGAAAAAGCTATATAAATTCACTCTATTTATCCTTGTCAGTGATTATCATACTTTAATGTTTTATGTTATTTGAACAATTTGGTATTGAATGCAGATCTTTGTTTATTTTCACTCAAACAATATAGAGCTAGATATATTGTATTGACAACTGCTCATTGTTGAAGACTTTTAGATGTTTACTGGTTATGTTATTGGGTTGCTGTCTCATGGACATATAACCAACATCTCCTTTTATTAGGGGAGGTTTTAAACTTTCTAAATGTAGAAAAATTCACTGTAACTTTGAGATTACGGACAGCAATAAAAGCTCTATTACTTTGTTTTTGGTTTTGTGTCATGAATTACCTGGCTTTTTGCACGTCTCCTCCTTCAGCTCCTTCTGACTGGTCATCATCTATAAATAAAAACAAAATTATTTTCAAATTTGTTTTATATACTTAGAAATGAATCTATTTGCAAACGAATTTAAATGATATTTCCGATTATGAAAAGTAGTTGTGTTAAAATAAAGAAGCTGATCCAAACATCTTTCACTTTTAATATTTCAAAAATATTTCACAGAAAATATGTTGTAAATGTTTTAGCATGCATGCACTACATGTATCTTTCAAGGAATAGTTTATAATACTGATTAAAACCTTAATGTTGAAGCATTTACATTTTAAACTCCACCATATTTGTTTTCCATAAAATAAATTCACATCAACCATACAAATTCATAAAGATTTTCAGCACAAATACAGTTCAAATTAAATACAACAGCATATTCGATCAAACAAGAGTTAATGCTCCAACAGCAAAACCAAAGATCAATCCCACAAATCATCCCAACTGTGTATGTCCACTGTTCAAATATATACGTTTTACATAACTATCAGTAAAAGATGGAGTTCAATACATCGTCTTTTAAAGTATCATTAATTTGAAGAGAATCTTCATTAAGATAGCAGAGAAAAATGAGTATTGTTTTGTTCAGAAATATATATGAGTAACTTGATTTTGAAACTATGTGATATTTATTATCATTAGTGGGATACTTATCTTTTGTTGATTTCGTTTGTAAAAGTAAACAACAATCTTTAGTGCTGTTATTCAACAAAATAAAAATTAGTTACAGGCTTGTTTACATATTTTTTCAAATGACAAAATCAAGTATCCATGGAAATACAGTTATTCCTTAATCAACAAATATTGGTACCAAAGAAAATAAATGAATCCACATTACTTATTTTAATACCAAATTTTTCTTGTGATAAAAAAGGTAACAGTTCATAGATTGGTTGGAAGGAGATAACTCAAAACTGTTAATAAAAATATATAAATAAAGCAGCACTGCACACTTTAAGCATGTATAATTTGTTACAAGTCTATCCATTCTTCCCCATTACATTGGCAGATCTACTGCTGTGTGGAGGACATAGAAAGTTTCTCCATGCATGAGGTTCATGCTCTCATATTTTTACCTTGATGGCATATATTTTCTTCAGATAACTTCTCTTATCAGGCTTTAGTAGGGTACCCCCCTAAGTCACAAGGTCATGTTTAAAAATAGCCACAAGTAACCACCTTTAAAGCAAAGTTTACAGTTCTAAACTGATCTAATTCTCAGTTTTTTTTACATAATAAAGAGTCGCAGGTCCTTTTAAAAACACATCAGGTCACAAGGTTGACCACCTCCCCGCTCCCCTCCTTCCTTGTCAAAGCCATGAAAGGATTTTGTGTCCAGAATTTATACTTCATTTGCTTTCTTTCCATTAAATTCTAATCATGAATGTTTCCAATGCACATAAAACATATTTATAAATAAAAAAATTATCGCTATTTTACGAATTTTTCCTTTGATCTTGCTGACTGATAATTTCCGTTCTCAGCGGAGTCGAGTGATATGAAAAAAATCGCTAGAAACTAAGGGAACACGTGGCATTGTCAAGGAAATTAACAACGTCTTCATAGGTAAAATAGCGATAAACAGATTATCATTGGTCATCTCAACTCGATTGCTTTTCTCGCTTTCGCCTTACCAGCTCAAGCGAGAAAATCAATCTTGTTGAGATAACCAACGATAATCTATAAATATCAAAATAGTTGCTGACAACTAAAATTAAGTATATTACAAATATCAACTAAAGATCACAGAGCCAAAAATTAAACATAACAACATATGTTACCAACACAAAAGAATTAAATGATAAAATGTTCATTTGAATCCCTCTTCATTACAATAAAGCAGAAATAAGGACACGAGACATTGACATTTGTTACAACACTCTCGTCAAACCTTTGTCTGGCTTGTCTTCTGTAATATCAGCTCCACTTTTCTGGGCTAACAAAATACAAATAACACCTTTAATAGGGAACTATTTCAACATCCATATGACTCCACAAGTAACTGAGAACTATCCCTATGACTGAGCAAAGTTTGATGTAGGGTAGATAATTCAAACATGATGGGAAAAAAATGTATCAGCAAATAAAAAGGTCTCAACAGGAATATATTTCCTTTGTAAGATTCATCTTATATTTAAAATGTGAAACAAAGTAATATATAAATATAAAGTGGGAAATAAAATATGGTAAATTAATTTTCATATCACCCCCTTCATTTCTGTACTTTGTAATATCTACTTCTGAATAGTTTTCAGTGTTGTACATTTAAGCCAATAATATTTCATCGTCTCAGATTTAAATATCATTTATACTCAACATAAATCAAAGATAAAAAAGTCAGGTCTACCTATATCTAAGGCTTGTACAAAGCACTTTAAACTTCCTTGATGGAATATTATAAGTTATCTACGTTCATATCCGTAGATATGGATATTTTAACACCCTGAAGTATCCAAGTACACCCTGAGGCGCAGCCGAAGGGTGTACAGGGTACTGAAGGGTGTTAAAATATCCATATCTACGGATATGAACGTAGATAACGAATTTATCCCTGGTCTTAGTCTAAATCTGGCGATTTTTAGAGAAATTCGACCACAAAGTTAAACGTGAAAGCAACGATTTTTTTCATTTTTTAAATATCTTTTATTGAAATTTGGGAATTTGACATATTTTTAACGGGGTGTAGGGTACTACCTTTGGTAGAACCCTACAGGTAGACAAATATAAGACGTTTTTAAACTAGAGACAGAGAAACTGAAATGGGTCGAATTTGGCGCGCAATGTTGTGAGAGTTACATCATAAACGGTGTGACGTCAACGTGGGTCATTTGCATAGCTAGGTCAGTAGTACCATTCATTGACAATGTGGCTGCATAGTGATGCATTTACTAAAATGAGTGCAAATAATCGATATAATAAGATAAAATCGTTAGTGGATTTAATATTTAATTATACAGACATCATGGAAAATCTACAGAATTCGATATTTCATAAGGAACAACCATGGAACTAAGGAAAACGCGCGTGAAATTCCCCGATGTAATGGGTAGCAACGTCCGGGGATATGGGTTAGCAACACCCAGGGGCTATGGGTTTTGTAACGACGTGCGTTAACCAATCAGAATCCTAGAAATATACTAAGCCGGGGATAATTTTGCATATTCATGATAATGTTCAGATATGAATCATGTCAACTAACTAGAAAAATTAGTTTTTTTTCTGTTTTAAATACAACAATGTGACAATATTTGGTAAACATCCACCAACAAAACTAATATTTTAAGAAAGAAGATTACATATAAATATTGGACAATCACAGTACAACAGTCTCCTGAAGGATTATAATAGTAATCAAATTTCTACTGAAATAAATTTTAGCAGGATATTCTTTTTTTGTGAATTTTATTTTTGGAACATTTTCCATGAGGTTTTTATTTGTGCATTTAATATTGAAGTTATTCATAAACAAAACTAAATGTTGTGGCAATATTCAACTATGGCTACTCTATTGTGTGAACAAAATCAAATATTACTCCAGCAGGTCTTGTTCAAATGTTAAAAGTAGCAATGTTAACCTTGGCAAAGTCTTGTTTAAATGTTAAAACTGTCGAGTCCTGCTCAAATTTTAAAACTGGCAAGTTCTGCTCAAAAGATAACACTGGCAAGTTCTGCTCAGAAGATAACACTGCCAAGTTCTGCTCAAAAGATAATACTGGCAATTCTGCTCAAAAGATAACACTGGCAAGTCCTGCTCAAGTTATAACGCTAGTAAAATTTTATAACACTGGCAAGTCTTTCTAAATTATTTACATATGATATGAAATCCTATGACATCATATTCAAATGTTCACTCTATATAAAACACCAGCTAGTTCTGCTCATATATAAAACACATATAAAAAAAAAAGTAGGAAGTCCTGGTCAAATGTCTATACATGACATATAACACAAGCAAATCCTTCTCAAACATTTCTGAATAAAATATTGAAAAGCCTGCCAAAATGCTTATTCAAGCCATTGTCGAAAGGTTTAAAAATCAATGAAAAATGCTCCAATGTTTATATGACAGAAACTACAAATGAGTAATGCTAGAGTGTTTATATACAATATTATCAATCACCATTTTATATATAGATCTATGTATTATGGGTACTTAAATGTTTATAAATGACATAAAAACTCACAAAACCTACCCCTACAATTCTTTTTTATACATTAAACAAAAATTCGCAAATACCTGCTGAAATGTTTTAAAAGATAAATGACACTAGTAAAACCTGCTCAAATGTGAATACATGAAATAAAATACTAGCAAAACACAGAGATAACATTAGGTAACATAAAGTATGAATGAAGGAAAACAATAACAAACATGATAGAACTCCTACCCAAATGTTCTGTTATATCATATTCCCCGGGACTCCTACCCAAATGTTCTGTTATATCATATTCCCCGGGACTCCCACCCAAATGTTCTGTTATATCATATTCCCCCGTGACTCCCACCCAAATGTTCTGTTATATCATATTCCCCGGGACTCCCACCCAAATGTTCTGTTATATCATATTCCCCCATGACTCCCACCCAAATGTTCTGTTATATCATATTCCCCCGGGACTCCCACCCAAATGTTCTGTTATATCATATTCCCCCCGTGACTCCCACCCAAATGTTCTGTTATATCATATTCCCCCGTGACTCCCACCCAAATGTTCTGTTATATCATATTCCCCCGTGACTCCTACCCAAATGTTCTGGTACGCCCTGTATTAACTCAGGATGTTCTGTTACATCATATTCCCTGGGACTCCCACCCAAATGTTCTGGTACGCCCTGTAATAACTCAGGATGTTCGTTATATCATATCCCGGGACTCCTACCCGAATGCTCTGGTTCGCCCTGTAATAACTCAGGATGTTTTGTTATATCATATTCCCCAGGACTCCCGCCCAAATGTTCTGGTACGCCCTGTAATAACTCAGGATGTTCGTTATATCATATCCCGGGACTCCTACCCGAATGCTCTGGTTCGCCCTGTAATAACTCAGGATGTTTTGTTATATCATATTCCCCAGGACTCCCGCCCAAATGTTCTGGTACGCCCTGCAATAACTCAGGATGTTCCGTTATATCATATCCCGGGACTCCTACCCGAATGCTCTGATATACCCTGTAATAACTATATCATATTCTTGAGAACTCCTACCCAAATGTTCTGTTATTTCATATTCCCTGAGGCTTCCACCCAAATGTTCTGGTATGCCCTGTAATAACTCAGGGTGTTCTGTTATATCATATTCCCCGGGACTCCTACTGAAATGTTCTGGTATGCCCTGTAATACTGTGGATTCATTATTATTCGTTGGATACCAATTTTTGTGGATTTCGTGGGTACAGGTGAACCACGAATTCAGATGTCCAACGAATTACAAATTTTCTATAGGCTTTGTATGCAGAGATTGGCAAAACCACGAATTCAAATATCAACAAAAATGCAAGTTTTTCTCAATCCACGAAAATTGATACCCACGAAAATAAATGAATCCACAGTAACTCAGGATGTTCCGTTATATCATATTCCCCAGGACTCCCGCCCAAATGTTCTGGTACGCCCTGTAATAACTCAGGATGTTCCGTTATATCATATCCTGGGACTCCTACCCGAATGCTCTGATATACCCTGTAATAACTATATCATATTCCTGAGAACTCCTACCCAAATGTTCTGTTATTTCATATTCCCTGAGGCTTCCACCCAAATGTTCTGGTATGCCCTGTAATAACTCAGGGTGTTCTGTTATATCATATTCCCCGGGACTCCTACTGAAATGTTCTGGTATGCCCTGTAATAACTCAGGATGTTCCGTTATAACATTTTCATCAGTACCATCATCATCATCTATAGAGTGTAATCTTGCTGTTTAAATAAAACACATAAAAACTAGGTGCTTTTGGTTTACTGCATTTTGTAAAATTTATTTTGTTAATGTCTTACGTTTGGCATTTTACTTAATAATTAGAAATCAAACTACTGAATAATGCTTTAAAATGCTTGGTCAGTATTCAGTAAAAAGAATACAACATAAAGCAACAATGGTGTTGATGAAAAATCTGAAACGTTTTGCCAGGACAACAGATAAAGAAATTGATGATGAACATTTGAAATAAATGCAGAAAACACATTAAAAGTAACAAGTTGTTATCGTTGGCATTTGTTTTTGTATAGACCAATGAAAGAAGGTTCTTAATATTGAAGACTTGATTGCTTTGATAGACCACTAGTATAAATGGCACATGTTAAGACAGTTGGTAAGATAAATTCGTTACACAGTTTGCTAGTGACCTAATACGATATATATGGGGTCAGTAAATACAAAATGGGGTTCGAGCTTCAGACATATAAAACAAAATACAAAGAATAAATAGATTCCTCGGATGTAAACAAAATTATAAAATAAAGAATAATGAGATTAATGAAAAGAAAAAACAATGAAAAATTCCAATGTAAGAAAAATATCAAGAAATATAAAGAAACATAACAATGTCTTTATCCTCAACAGAAACAGAGTAATAATAAAAATAACAGAGTATAACAACATCCCTACAACACAAGAATCACCTTTAATTTGTATAGGTATTTCTGAAGCCTTTTCTCTTTCAAATGCCTCTCTCTGGTCTGAAATTGTTCAGAAGATTTTTAAAGTCGATACTTTTTATCAACCAAGTCTAAGGTTTCTGTAATTTACTCTTCATTAGAGTAAAAAAAAATATATTTTCTATATTAACAATATATCACAAAAATCTATTTATATCTTAAGTTAAAATCACATGTATTTTAGTTAATATTTAAGAATAGAATTGAAAGTTCCTTTTCATTTGTATACAAATATATTTCCTTGAAAACCTATTTAGTAAGAATTTAAGCACACTATCAATATAATATATAAACTGATATACATTACAATATATCTAACAATAAATAGTATACAACACACATGCAAAAATATAGTATAAAAAATATAAAATTTACTTAAACATAAGTAAATTAAAGTGAAAAATATTAAAGAAGATTTTTTTTAGTTTTGGACAAAATTTCACGCTTGAAAACTTTCTTAAATCCAAATGCATTAGTTTAAATATTCACCAATGATATGAATCTTTTACTAAATGAGTTCTTCCTTATGAATCTTTTACTAAATGAGTTCTTCCTTATGAATCTTTTACTAAATGAGTTCTTCCTTATGAATCTTTTACTAAATGAGTTCTTCCTTATGAATCTTTTACTAAATGAGTTCTTCCTTATGAATCTTTTACTAAATGAGTTCTTCCTTACAGCAAACATAATCAAATACAAATTATAAAGTACCAAATATTATCATTTAATCTTAATCTAATCCTTGAGTAACCAAGTTATATATGGCACTCGATATACTTCTATCTGTTATCAAGGGGTATGGATAGACATTTCTCTGTGAAGTTTACATATTTTACTATTGAATTTGATTAATGATGTTTTAAAGGAATACAGATTCATAGAATTATGCAGGGATTTCACATCCATAACTTAACAAAAATAAATTTCCTAAATCATTTTAAATTCTACAAAGGGAAATAATCATCATTATTTGTAAAATAACTCTTTCACTGTATGGAAAAAAGTTTTAAAATGATGCAAGTATAATGTCTGTCTAACAATGGTGATTTAGGAATGATACTGCATTACAGCAGAGTATCACAATTAAACATTTGGTTACATTCTACAGGGAACAATATGCAGCTACACAATAAAATGTTTTGTAATTGTCTACATATTCACTAAACATGTAACAGGGGCGAAATTACCATTTCTCACATTTCTGATATCTCAAATGTATGCAAATTTCCCTTTTTCTATGTTAAAAAAAATATTTTAATTCAATATTATTTTAAATATTCTATTAGAGCTGATTGTCAAATCAGAGACCTTGGAGGAACCATGACAACAAAAAGCTTCTGCAAGTACATTATTTTCTAAAATTACTAAAGACAAAATAAAAACAAAAGTAATTATCTTCAATTCTTTTTTAAATACCTATCAATGAAACAAAACGTATAACACTGAATGCTGCTAAATCAATATATATATATACTATGGACAGAGAAAAAACTTAGGACAATGAAAGCTAAATATCAAGGAAATAAATATAACTATACATTATATATAAAGCATTACAGACATGCACTTCGTTTTGATTGGTCCAATGTTCCTTACAAAATCTAAATGTAATTATTAAATTAGTGAATCAATTATGAAATACAATCTATCAATAATGGCAAAAAGTTGAGAATGCTTGAAAGAATGAAGACCATAGTAGTACCACCAAGAGAAAGGTATTAATATGTTATGACATGGATGGGTTCATGAAGGAGACTTAGATGGAGTGAAAACAATATATTTCTTGATTTTTACAAGACCAAGACTATTTTACCTAATAGCTCGGGTTTAAAACAATGATGACAGAGGAGTATGCCTGCAAATCTGTTTCACAGCACGAGAGAGAGAGAGTGAGAGAGAGAGAGAGAGAGAGAGAGAGAGAGAGAGAGAGAGAGAGAGAGAGGGAGAGAGAGAAAAGAAGAATAAATTTCAATTTGGTATACAAGTTTTTATGAAAAAGGAATAATCTTTTTTAGGTAGAGAGAGTGAAAAGAATATGATATTTCAAGATTGTTATATGTAAATGGTTGACAATGGTGTCAGTATAAATATGTAAATGGTTGAGAATGGTGTCAGTATAAATATGTAAGTGGTTGACAATGGTGTCAGTATGGATATGTAAATGGTTGACAATGGTGTCAGTATAAATATGTAAGTGGTTGACAATGGTGTCAGTATGGATATGTAAATGGTTGACAATGGTGCCAGTATGAATGATAACATGAAGGAGAACATTGGACCAACCATAAAAACAACATTAGTAAGACTATATACCTTTGTTAGTACTGTCAGTAGACCACGTTTGGTGAGAGGAGGAGGAGGAGGAGGAGTAAGAAGTAACAGTTTGGCTAGAGGATTTTTTTGAGGTTATCACAGTGGTAGTTTTATCTTTGGTATCAGTTTTAGTGTCATCATCATCATCGTCATCATCTTTCTCCAGTTTTGTTGTAATTGAAGCTCTTCTCTTTTCTTCCTTCATGGCTTCCCATTCTGCCATGGTGTAAATTCTTTTTCTCTCCTCATAAGGTCCCCATGTAAATGGTTTTGGTGTGATTGGGGTATCTTCACTACAATCTGATTGTTTTGATGAGAATTCATAATTATCTTCTATATGAAAACTTGTGAGTTCAGGTTCTACGTTGCCTTGGTAATCTATAAAAGGACTGCCAATACCTGTTGTTTTATAGCTATGGTAATTATCTATTAACCAATTTTTCTCTCTTTTCTTTCTATTTTCCAATGATTCTTTTGAAACCTGCATTATATCAGTACTTGAGTCACTTTTTGACCCAGCTGACCTCATAGTGTCTGCTGATGACCTTGAAAAGTTTGAACTTGTAATACTGTAGAAGGAAGATTCCATAATACTTTCATGTTTGTCTGAACCAGTTAGCTGATCTTCTAATGAATCACCAGATGTCTGCATGACATCTTCAGCACCTTGAAGTGAATCAGTTTCAACCTTTTGCTCATTTTCCAGTGAGTCAGTTGACCTTTCCATGACCCCTTCCATATCAAGCAAAGAGTCATTATCATATTTATCTTTGTGAGGTTTGAAACCAAACTGTTCTCCTAAAGAATCAGTAGATATTTTCATCAGAGAATCATCCCGTAATGAATCTGATTCTTTTGATGAGCTTTTTGAAGATTTTTGTGATGTCTGCGATGCCTGAGAAATGTTTGATGTTGACATCAAGTCTCCTCCCACCATTACTACACTGGAGGTCATAGAGGTTATGTCTGATTCACCATCTAATGAATCTTCATCATCTTCCTGACTTTTATCTTTCTGTGATTTTTTGTCTCCAAGAGAATCTTCTAATTCATCTTTGCCATCAATAGAATCGTTATCAATATCCCTGTCTTTGATTAATGTTTTCTCCTCTGATATGCTGTCAGTCTGACTTTCGTATTGTTGTTTGGATAGTAAAGTCCCTGCCTCCAATATTGAAACAATCTTTTGTGCTTCAGCCTCAAGTTCTTCAGCCATTTGAAGCTCTTGTTCTATTTTTTCAAACTCAATTAGTGAAGCCATTGAAGAAGTCTCACTCCTCTGTTTGTAACTTTCTACAGAGATACGTCTCTCTTCAATTGTTTGGTCTAATTTTTCAACTTCAGCTAGAGAAGACCTTGATCCTTCAATGTCACTACTTTTACTATCAGAGGATGGTATTTTTTCAACTGAGCTAGTAGAGCTAGACTGACAAAGTTCTCGCTCAAATCGTTCAAACTCAGCTACAGATGAAGTAATGGAAATATCATCTCTGAGTCGATCATCCCCGGATCCTTTTTGACTGTCTTTGTCAGTTTCTATAGAACCACGAGATGCACCCTGTTCAATCTCTTGTTCTAGCCTCTCAAACTCCAACAGCGAAGAAGTAATAGATATATCATCTTTCTCACCACTTTTACTTTTGAAGTTGCCTGGACTAGGTGGAGGATAATCTGGTGAACTGTAAGGTCGATCAGATAGAGATTCTGACATCATGTCATCCTTGTCTATCATCTCAAATTTATCTTCATCCGATATTTCTGTTATAATTGATAATGCTGTTTTATCTATATATTCATACCTATCACTTTCAAATGACGATTCACTGCCATCTTCCTCTCGTGGACCCCACTCTATCAAAGGTCCCTCTCCATAGTCCTCATCCTCCTTTTCTTCTTGTATGAGTTGCTCATGTTTTACCTCTAATTCCAACAATTTTCGTTTTAAGGCTTCTGTTTCAATTTTTGATTTATCCTCGTGTTCTTGCTTCTTATATTTTGTATCTTCAGTTGTTTTTTCATGTTTAACAGTAACAGGAATGAGCTTGCTGGCAGTCACTGGTTTTTCCTCTACAGGAAAAGCTCCACTTTCAAGGTCAAATAAGGGTTCCTGTCCCCAGTCAACTAATGGACCTGAAACTTCATGTATTTCTTCTTCAGGTCCTTGAATATCAGAATGAAAAGATGATGTCATAGAACTAAAATCATCCATTCGTTTATCTGCTTTTTCATCGTCATCTTCCTGCTCCTCAGCAGCTACAACTGTTGTAAAACTGTCAATACTTGAAGAGTCTCCTGCATCGTCATGGAGACCAGTGTCATGTGATTCAATTATAGGTTCATCAGGTACAATACTTTTGAATTCGTTATCGGTAGGAGTTTCAGCACCAATGTCCTCTGGTTTTGATTCAGTCAGTTCTGTTTGGGGATCTATGCTGTCAGTGAGTGTATCAACACCAGAGGCTAACTCAAAAAAATGATCTTCTGAATTTGGTTCTATTTTGTCATCTTCATCATCAGGTACTCCTACTTTATAGTCTTCAAGGGGTTCTGCATCAATATCTTCATGACCTTTGTCACCTTGATTAATACTTAGTTCTAAGGACACAAGATCATGTGACACAGATGATGTAACGGCAGTTTCTATATGTGTGGTTTGTCTGGCTTCAGAGTAACTGTAGGAACTGCTTGAAACAGACTCCTGATAATGTTTGGAATCAAACTCTGATGATGTGGTTTGTTTTGTTGAAGAGACTTTCTTTGAATCTGTCAAATCAACTCCAGGGTATGGGAATACTTGTAAGGGTCTAGTGGCTGATGACTTTGATACTGTTTCAACTTTCATGTCATCTTCTTCAATGTCTTCCTCTTCGGGTATACATGTAGGTCCAAAATCAGTATAGTCTCTATCTGGTCTTCGTGAAGCCACAGGCTGTATAGCTTGAGGTAAAATTTCTTCTTCCACTTCCTCATCTTCTTCAGGGATACAAGTGGCAGTAATTCCTTGCCCATGAATTTCAGCCATTATTTGTTGTGATTGGCTTGCAGATATCAGTTCCTCTTCTTCAACAAAATGCTTACTTTCTGTTTCTTCTCTACTTTTTGTTTGTACTTCTGGTTCCACTTTATAACAAGATAAGTATTTTTCTTCATCTGAGCTCTCCTCTTCATGCAAATGTTGTGTAATTGTTATTTCTGGTATGTCCTCTGATAGCTGCCTAATTAATCTTGGACCAGTAACTTGTACAGTGGTAAGATTTGGCACTTCGTCTTTTTCTTCAAGAGATTCTACTGACTTTACAATCTGTTCATCAACTACTTCGGAGCTGTTAGAGTTCTCGTCTCTATGAACACGACTATATGCTTCATGTATTACAGAATCTACCAATTCTTCAGCAGCTTCCTCAATATCTTCATCATCTTCCTCTTCATTGTCTCCCTCATCATGGAAAGTATGTTGTTTCTGATCTACTGGTGTTGGAGTTACTGGCCTTTCCAAATCCGCAGAATCAATTCTTAAATCAAACAATTCCTGGCTCTCATCGTCATCTCCTTCAGCAAAATCTAACTGTGAAAAATAAGATTCACTTGATACTGGCCTCTGAAGATCATCCATAGACTTAACCTCAAGATCTCCTTCCTCCAACATACATATGGCTCCTAATTCATTTGTCTTACATATAGCTACAGGCATTTCTTGTTCTTGATAATGCTTTGATATCTCAGCAATTTCCTCATCTAAATCTGGATCAACTGTTTTGTCGTCTAATAAGTCCTCTAAATCTTCTGAAGATCTTACTAATATTTCCATCTCAGCCTCTTTTTCCAGACTTCTCTGTTGTTCAATGTCAGACAACTGCAATGCTCTTTTGCCTGGATAAACTTCACCAGGACTTCTAGCATACTGTCCCACTGTCTCAGTCTGAGTCTGTTCTGTGAGTACTAATTCCATGGTAATTTGATCACTTGTTCTCATGGTGATATCTCTACTTTCACTTTGATCAGAGGCTTCCTCATCACCTTGGGATGTCAAACCTACAGAGTAGCTAACCGAATCCAAGTCTGCTTCGGTATCATGTTTCACTGATGTTTCAAGAAGTGATGTTGATAAAGAATGCAGACCACTTTCTTCTGATGGCATGTCCAATCCATACAATGTCTGATCTGACATCAATAACCGATCCTGTCCTGGTATCGACTCCATCATTCCTTCTGTATTAGATTCAATCATCATATTTTCTCTCGGTGGAATGTCAACATCTTGTTGACCTTCTGCTTCCTGGACAACTGACTCTTCCTGAACAATTGATTCAGTTTGCTGTACTGGTGTTGGTGACATTGTTTGAATTTGTTGAATTTCCTCTGTTTGACTAGCTGAGGCTTCCCCACCATAGCTGTAATCTAAATCTATAGTAGGGCTGTATTCTACTTCGGTTGGACCATTAGGTAACTGAACTGTCTTTTCTTGTGTTTGTTCTTCATTGACTATAGCCGGTGTTTCTGTAAGATCTGGTAAAAGATTAGAAAACTCTGCCATCTGTGGAATATCAAATGGGGATCCTATGCCTTTCTCACTGGCTTCACTGCTGATTGGTGAGGAATGTTCGAATGATGATTCACTCTTGTCATAGGATTGAGCTGGAGTTGCTTCCCCTTTAGTGGAACACAAAGGACTGATGATCTCTAGTGATTGTCCTGATTTGTCCATTTCTCCAACATCTGTAAAACTACTAGATGTTGCCATTGATTCTGATGACCTAAGCATTTGTACTTTTTCATACTCTTCCATGTAATCTTTAAAACCTACTAGTTCTGTATCTGATACTAGTTCAAATGGAGAACTGGGTTCTTCATCTAATTCTTGTTCCACTGAATCAATCTGAACAATTTCTTGTTCTGTCACTACCTCTGTTTCTGATTTTGATTGAGCTTCAGTTTCCTGCTCAGCAAATGTATCTTGAAGTTTGATGGCTGCTCCCTCTAGATCTGGCTGTATATCATGTCCATTTGTAGCATCTTTTGGTGTAGGAGCAGGAGGTGATGGGACATACGACTCAGTAGAACTTGAAACTTGAAGTGGTTGTTGCTTTCCTCTAGGTGATACTACCAACAAGTTTGGGCTTGCTACATCACTATGTGATTCTTCTTCAAAGACATCATCTTCAGGACTAGATAATATGGCTTTAGTCATGGCAGGGACTGGAAACTGCTTCTCCACCGAATCAGGAGACACATCATAAGTGGTTACTACTCTGGAAACATGACCTGACTCCAAATCATATGAAGCTGCCAACAGAGTTGGTTCCATTTCTGATGAGGAAGTAGATGTTTTGATTAATTCCTCACTAGATAATGACTGTAAATGTTGATTGTCAGTTTGGAATGTAACTCGTTTTTCTGTAGTAGGAATCTGACTTTCATCCTGTTCCTCCTGTTCCTCTGGGAATTCATCAGTTGGTGTTTCTTCAATGGGAGATAATTTTTCCTCTGTTGTATCGCCACCTGTTTCGGAAGACTCATAAATCTCATTGTCTGCAAGGTTTTTCCCAAAATGGGTTAAACCCATGGGGAATTTCCCAGATGCAAAATTTGAAGGTCGTTCCTGTGGTGTACATTCATCCTGCATATCATCACTGTCAATCGATGGGGATATTGATCTATCACGTTCATCAGAAGATTCCTGTAATAACTCCTCCTGAGCAATCCTTGATATTCTACTCACAACCTCTGTCTCTAATGGTACATTTTCTGTCACTGGAGTCAGAGAAGTGTCGGTGGTTACATCTTCCCTGGCAAATAGATCTTCACCAGAAACATCATCAGTTCTCCCATAAAGTACATCTGATATCAAACATTCAGTTGATGCACCTCTTTTTTCTGAACCAGGCATGTTAAGAACAAAGGATTCTGGGAACTGAACAGCAACCTCTGCAGATTCTACTTCAGCCTCTGTTTCAGATCTCTGCAGCATCTCTAACTCATACTTCCTACTTTCCAGGATACTAGATATGACAGTTTTGTCATGGGTTTCTGATATCTGGTCATGTGGTTCACTATGAAACATTTGTGATAATTTGCGATATGAAGAACAGATTGTTTCATCACTTCCTGTATACTCTGATATTCCTGATATGTCTATTCGTTCTTGTCTATAGAAGCTGCCCATGTCTATTGATTGAGCCGTTTGAATATGTGATGAAGAGGGCTCGTCTTCTTGTTCTTTAAATGGATCAGAAAATTGACGTTTGAACTGTTGAGCTACTTCCCATGGTTCTCTTGTAAATGTACCTGTTGTCTCATCATATACACCACCAGAACTGTCGGTACTGGTATCAGATTGAGTCAACACAGGAAGTTGATTGTCTTGTGGTGCTAGGAAACCACCTGCAGCTTCATCTAACATTTCATCCTCGTCTGCCTCATTCAGAGCAGGTTCTATTTTATAGCTATCATCGCTAGGTGTACGATGAGTTTGAGCATACTCATCTTTTTTGGCTTCATACAAACCTTGCTGTCCAGTTTTCTTCAGATCTGCTTTAAGTTCTAGTAATTGGTTTTCATTAAAACTGAACTCATTAAATGACTCTCTAAGGTCTTCTGGGGAAATTTCTCTGCCGGATCCCTTAGATGGTGGCTGTTTAGTTATCTGTTCTAATTCAGTGTCTTCTTCACTGAAAGCATAATTTTCAAATGCCATATCATGAAGCTGGTCTTTCCTTTCATCAGATACTGGTTCATCAAATGAATCTGAAAACATACTGTCTTGTTTAATTATAACTTCCTTTGATCTACAGATGTCTGTTGATTTAATTTCAGTACATGTCATTTGTGTTTCCGTTCTTTCTTCTCTCTCTTCACTGACATCTTTTTTGTCTTTCACTGGTTGCTCTATTGTTTTAAAATGTCGCTGGTCATGTTCCAGATGCTCGTCTTCTTCCAGTATAAACTCGGACGGAGACACGCCTACAGATATACTCCCCGTTACAGGCAAGGAGTCTTGTACAGGGGAGACAGGTAGTTCCTCTTGGATATAAGTAGGAGAAACAGAATCAACAGGTGATTCAGAGAAGGAAAAAGTTGGTCTGTCTGAAGTTTTAGGGGGAAGGGGAGAGAACTGTTCCTCTACGTCAGTATCCACAACTTTTTCTTCTGTCACATCACCCAACTTGGCATCTAAATGGATTATGTAAGAGTTAGTACGTCAATAATGAGAAAAGGTGACAAACTTGTTATAACTATCTAATTCTAAATTTATAAAATCTAACATATTGATAATAATAAAAGAATTATACTACCAGAAATTATCGCAATGATAAAATTAGTTGAGTATTACATTGTTAAAATATGTATTTTCATTTTTAGTTGTTAACTCATTTCTACAGTTTATATCATTCAATGTCCCATTATGACAGTCATCTGAGATTTCCAAAAATATAACACAAGCAATAATACCATAACTTGCAGCTATTAATTATGGGAAAAAATGTTTAGAAGTTACATAGATTTCTAAAATAGGTTTATTCATCCATTTAGATGCGAGTTCAATGCAATTTTTTTATATGCCATCTTAAAGTCATAGATTAAATGATTTTCGGAAAGTACTTTTCATAAAAATAAGGGATTTTTAGCTATTAATACTAAAATTTAAAACAAGGTGTAAGATAAGGTTTATCTCATGCAAGTCAATACATAGTGCCAAGTTTTATCGTGTAATAAGTATCACGGAATGTACAATTAAATGCAAAATTTTGTGAAGTAAAATTAAGGATAATTTTGTACTTAAATGCAGATCATAGTGTGAGAACCAAGTTAAGTATACAAATACATTCTAACTGCTGACATACAGAACAACAAGATCAAATTTATTCAAAATCTCAAAAAAGAAAATCACATATTTCAGCAAAGATGACTCAACCATTCGACAATTTTCTTGCAAATAGTCAAATTTATTCAGATTGTTGTAAAAATAATAGCTGTTGAAATCAAAATTCAAGAGAAATATTATTTTTCAAAGGTATCAACTGCACCAATATACGAAATTCATTTGAGTCAATTTACCTGTATACATTTTTATCATACATATTGAATAATTATAAATAAAAAATAAAAAAGTATAATTCATGGAACCAATGGGATTAGCATTTCTCAAAAAATATAATTAAAGGTGATTATACAATAATATGTTCAGAGTTATTCATATTGAAGAGAAACATGGGAAAGAAATTATTTTAAATTTAACAGCGATCCATTTACATAAGAGTTTTAGGAAATTTTACATGAAGTTGGAAATCGTTTCAAATAAAGGCGAAGACTTTGTGAAGCTAATGTAAAATTTCTTTGTTTGGATGTAAAAAATGTATTTGCAAGATCAAACAGGATTCTCCCAATCCAAGGTAAAGTCACTTGAATCAATCTTTTCTCACCTGAGGAATTTTGATTTCAAAAGCTATTAATTTTCTTAATTGAAAAAAAAACCAATAGCAATATCAATTTGAAAGAAAAGTTGATGGTTGAGCAATTTTCATCTCCTCAGAAATTGAAAATACATCTTCATTTCTATTCAATTTGTATCTTTATAATAAAGTGTGTCTTTAGACATTCTAATTATATTGAAAATTTGAACTTTATTTGTGAAAATCTTAATATTATGTGTTAAATGTATGTTAAATGTAATTTCTTAAATCATTATGAAGAAATTCCACTATAAAAGTTTTTGTGACAAAAAAAATGCCAAAGTAAAAAGCTAAAAAAGCGGAGCAATTAGAACAAATTTATACACTAGCACATCACACTACCCGTAGGAACGAAAGATACAAAGCAATACTATAAACATAGAAACACTGTACCTTGTACATCATCGAGCTGAGCCACCTCAGAGTGAGAGGAAACGGAAGATTTATCCTCCTCCAAGGCTGCTTGTAAAGAAAGCAAACATCCTCACACATTATTCCCTGATTTACATCTTAGATTTATATACATATATCCCTTTTCTCAAGAATAAATTATTCATAACTTTTAAAAAACATTTTTTTTTTTGTAGAAAGATTCCTACAAAAATCATATTTTGCTCGACCGAACAACATTTTTTTAATTTCTGTTATAACACATTTCACATTTTCATTTTTTAATTCATTTTAAATTTAAGAGAAAAATATGAAACTGCAGATTACAAGTACACAAAAATCTAATTTCAAATTTGTTAATCATGAAGTGAAAACATGAAGGAAATTTATCAAAACCTGATTTTTTGGCTTCAATCTATGAGATGAACTTAAGACATATGTATACAAGAATATGTATCTATAGAACACAATGCCCTCCTCACACAATGACATTTCAATGTTCGGTGAACAGTTCAATAAGTCAAAACCATTATTTGGCTTTTAATTTAAAAAGCTACCATCATAATGATCATGTATATTAAGTTCCAAGTTGATGTGGCAATTCTTGGTAAACTGTCTAAACCAAAAATAATGGTAAGCGTTGCATAATTAAAAGCATCTTGTTACTGTATATTTCAGAAATTATTGTGAGCTTTTTATTAATGTTAATAATGCGACTGGGTGACAATCGCAATAATAAGAACTCACGTTCTGAATTTGATAAATATGTCTGTATGCAGAATTTCATGAAATCACAATAATAAATCTCTCATTTTACTCCATTCTTCTAAAATTGCAATGATAAATGCACACAATAATTTCTGAATTTACAGTAATTGTTTATAAGAGTTATTGAATATGATGCTAAGTTATAGTTGTTTTTCTTCTGTTGGCTTCTCAAATCATTCCAGTAGTAACATGCCAAAAAAACGCCAAAATATTGAGGCAAACAATTTTTCAAATTTAATATTTTGGAAAGTTTGATCAGCTTTGATCTTTGAAATTATAAAATTTAATCAATAAATATTATATAAATGGTGATTTTGTATTTATTTTTTGTGAATGCCTACAAAAATAAAGAAATCAGATATTCCACATCCAGAAATATTATTAATGGAAGTTTCCAATCAGATTTTGTGTGTTTGTTTTTCGTTCCTTGCTAGTGATAACTTTCACAACAAAAGAAACACAATCATGTCCTACAGTATAATATTGAAATTACTAGCATGAATAATTCACTTATATAATAAATATAACATAGTACATAGTTATAAATGATGAAGAAACAACATACATGCAATGTTACAGTTTCATGAAAATGAATGCATAGATATGAATATAAAGATACCTTTAGATTGTTTCTTTTAGATGGGTAGATTTTACATATTTGTCAGTCATATTAAACAAATTCTGACTCTGAGAATAAAAAACAACGCTATGTGTTTTACATCTACAAATAATGATAAATGGATCTCATGTCCTATTTTCAAAATTGTGAACTAGTTTGGTATCTTTATGTTTTCTGCATTACAACATTAACAACAAACATGCAGATGTAAATAAGAGACTGAATAAATTAATAAATACACAATTCAGAAAAATCATTACATGTTTAAGTATATGAAATATTGACTTACTTAGTTATATTTACCGTTTTTTTTTTTACTTTTAATAATACAATCATAACATATCATACAGAATTCTTACTATCATTGCATTGCTGCCTTAACAATTTTGATTTTCTAAAACATCATTTTCCATTGAGGTATAATTTAAAGTTATCTTTACTAATCAAAATATATATTTAAATGAGCTATTGCTGTTGTAAAAGTACAATTCTTACTTTCAAATCAATCTAAATAGAAAAATGCACAGATGAGAAAAAGGAGAGACATAAACGAAGCTATACATGCTACTGAAACAAATTTTGACAAAAATTATTGTGCCTAAAAAGTGAACCTAATTGATAAAGGTGCTATCCCCAAGACATAGAAAGCAAAGAGACTGTGTAAGCACAACTAAAGCTCAAATTAAGGACACTGAAGTGCAAAGGAAGAAAACTACCTTTGCTGAATTCACTTAGATATGTGGAAGGGGTGAAGGCAGACATATCGGGTGATGAGCTGTGACGGTATCGTAGATCTTCCTGATAACCTATTTCCAACTGTGATTCACATGATAATGACCTTTCTTTGAAGTCTTTATAGATATCAGGTTTGGTTTCTTCCCCTGATAACTTATCAAGTCCTTCCTCGACAGTGATATAAATAGGACATGCATGACGAGATGATATAGATGTTTGTAATTGAGAGGTTTTCGACTCACCTATTATCTCCCTTGATTCTTGTTCGTAAATTTTTTCATAACTTGATGACCTATCTGAGGCCTGCAGTTGTTCATTCTGTTTTGTATCAAACCTGTCTCCTATATCTAACTCGCTAGCATCTCCCGACATTCGATTGATTTTCGGATCAAGAGGAACTCCATCATAAACATTTTCGTAACTAGAGAAGACATTTCTGCCTTCAGATCGTTGAAGACTTTCCATTTGTTGATGTATCGGTGGTATATTTGTGGTGGCTTGTGACTGAGATGCCACATTTTCTGATGTGTCAGATTCCAAAGGTTCTTGAATATTTAATTCATTGGAGGTGGTTGAGAACTCTGATTCTGAAATAGATAATATTAATACATGAATAAGATCTCTTGTGATTATTTACCTGTATAAACCTTTCACTGATCACTAATTTTATCATGCCATTATACATATATTGTGGATTGATGTCATTTGATGAGTACCAATACTTCTGTTTAGAAATAATTATTTTCAGGATGTTTATATTATTGTATCAACACAACTTTTAATTTGAATTTAAACATGAAATTCAAAGATGTTGGAACTCAAACCAAGCGAATCAACATAAAATGAAACAGTTATATTTGTGTACTATTAAACCTATGTGTTTTTGTTTGTTTGCATTTAATTCTTGTTCTAACTTCATCTATAAACAGGCATCTAAAGTTATTTCTAGTTGTAACTGGATCATTACATGCATTTCAACAAATTGTTTGTGTGTTCTTTGTTATCAAATGAAATAAAGAGTGGTGTGTTGACGGATCATGCTCAAAATAGGATTTTTTTTGTTTTTTGTTTTTTGTTTATCTATAATGGTTAAGCAATCATGTATTCTTTAAAAATTGTGTGTTTAGTGCATCACAAACAGTGTAAAAACTTTGACATGCCTAAGGAATTGGTGCAAGTTTGTTATTGTTCTAACTTTTAACTAAAAAAGAAATTAAAAAACTTAAATCTACCTTTGTCATGCACAGGTGGATCATGCTCTGGAAATTCCAGCTTTCCATCTATTGCTTCAAGTCCCAATAGCTTTGTCAATGCATCTTGGTCCTGTGACGTGATCAGAGTAAAGTCAGAAGGAGAGGGTGGTCTTTCTAATTTGGATTTCTCACTTTGTATTTTTTGTTCTATGAATATTTGTTGTGATACATCAAAATTCTCATCCATTAATTCATCGGGTTCAAAAGACCTTGACCCTTCCATGTCTGTGTCAGTTTCTAGTGTGTATGAACTCGGAGACAACGGTCTGTCATCCACACTTTGTGGTGTTTCTGTTCCTTCTGTTGCTGTTTCTGATTTCATAATTTTCTCAAGTTCTGTTTGTTCCATTCTTAATTCATGTTCAAGTTCATCAACTTCAGCCGCTGACAATTTACGAGAAAAATCAAATTCCTCTATTTCCACTCCTTCTGCGTCAAGCTGCGGTGTTGTATCAGTTGGTCCATGCAACTGCTGATCACCTTCCTCATCAAAGTATCCTGGTGATTGAACATCATCATGTCTATCTGAAGAATCACCTGCAAATTCTCCCATAAAATCATCCTGTTTAGTTTTAGTATCATATACTTTTGTTGGATCGGTATCATCAGGTAAATAAAGAAATTTTTCCATTCTATCTATGTATGATTCTGACATGTCTGCTTCCTCAAATGGACAGATGTCAGCAGTTTTTGACATGTCTGCCTCGTCGTCCAATGGGCCAATTTCTGCAGTTTCTGACAGAAAACGTACATGTTTATCAGATTGAATACCGTCAGTCAATGTATCACTGATGTCCGTTTCTTGCTTTACTTCTTTTCTATCTATGAATGTTTCTGAATCTTGAGAATCAACTTTCTCAATTTTTCTGACACTATCAGTGATTTCTTCCTCGATTTTATGCTCCAATCTATCTGTGAAACTGTCATCACAAATCATTTTTATTTCCTCAGTTTCCTTATCTACTTTGTATTCTAATTCATCTTTAGTTTTCTTCTCTATAACAGTTTTAGTATCTTTTGTTACACATGTTTCTGTTTCATCTGTTGTGATCTCTTTTATTTCTCCATCCTGTTTTTTCTCAGTCTTAACCAACTCAGTGTCTGTCTTCACAGAAATGTCAAAAGTTTGATCTAAAACCTCTTTCTTTTCAGTTTCTTTAATATCAATGTCTGAGTCTTTTGGCTTAACAGCATGGAATTCATGTTCTGACATTTCAGTTTTTAAATTTGTGACAGCATGGTCATCGGTGACAGTTTTCTGCTGATGTTCCTCTTCTACATACAATTCATCTCCTATGGCATGAGATTTTGTTGTAGTTTTAGTTTCCACAAATGTATCCTTTGTTATTTCAGAAGAAAATGTTTTATGAAATTCTTTAGTTTTGACATCACAAGTTTCGACATCACCAGACTTATACAGATCTTTCCTTTCTGAAACATCATGTTTTTGATCATAGGCCACTTTTTTCTCAACTGAATGTAATTTTAGTTCATCTTGATCAGTAGACTTTTTTGAAGGTGGTTCCCAGTCAAGTTCCATTTTAATTGTGTCATCTGACATTAAATCCCTCAATTGATCAACTCCGCCTGCCTGTGACATAAGCTCAAACAAAACAGCATCAGAATACACATTATTATCTTCCTCTCCTCCGGCAGCTTGTTCGTAGTATTCTGAAGGAATTTCTGTTTCTAAATCTTCAATTCTCTCCTCTGGTTCAATGATATCGATTACATGTGCACTGGTGTCTTCTGCTTGTTCTTGGCTCTCCTCTGGTTCCACACTGCTTTTCCTTCTAGCAACAAAATCATAAGGAATGCCAGACATTTCCTCATCAGCTTCTCTCTGTAAATTTTGATCTATACGTGTAGCATCTGTTGTGTATTCATCGATATCAACTATCTCTTCCTGAAGATCTGCATTAGATGATAAGGTGGAAATAACCATTTGGTCTTTTGTCTTGTCAACCTTTTCTACAGACACTTGTTTTTGTACATGTTCAATATTCGATGATTTTTCAACCTCTATATCATCTGATGTAAACTGTACCTCTTCCTGTATAACTTGTCCACTATCAATATCCTCTGAAAATGAGATTCGATGAGGTTTTTCAACAAGATCCTCATCAGACATAGTTGATGATGATGACAACTCTTTATCAATGTCCTTTGTTTTCCTTGTTGGTAACTGTATAGTTTCATCATGGGTTTTCTGTCTTTCCATATCCTCATCCAACTGAAATATCATTTCATCAGATTCCTTTTTATCCTTACGAGTTATTAATACAGGACTGACTACAATAGTTTCTTCATATGGAGCAGGTATTTCCCTTTCTTCAGGGCTCAATTTATCTTCTTCGTCTGGTTCAGAAACTATTATAGGTACAGTCTGAAAATCTATATCAGTTATTTTATGCATTTCAGTGGGCTTTTTGTCGGGAATGATTTGTTCTTCCTTTTGTAAAGTTTGTTGTACTTCTGGACATAAATCTTCTGCTATTTCAGTAAATACTGTTTCCTCTTCAGTAGTTGTGTAAATCAAATCTGTTACTGATGAAGCCTTGTCAGTATTTACAACTTTTTCAACTTCGGAACACAATTCTTCTGCTTTTTCGGTAAATAACATTTCTTCATTCTCAGTTGTATGTAGTTCAATATCTTGAGGAGTTTCCCCCATTGTAATTTGTTCATCCAGTGGCCGAAGAACTGTTTCTTCATGTTGGGGACTAATATCCTCTGCACTTTCAGTAAAAAATGTCTCTTCTTGTGTTAAAGTGTGCAACTCATCAAAACCTGTTTTCACTTGAATTTTTTCTGATGGTTTTATTTCATGAATTTCTTCTATTCCTTGACCAGGATAATAATCCTCAATGATTTCACTGACTTCGTATGTTTGTCCCTTTGTAACTAAAGGTTTTTCATCTTTTACCTCTGTTACTGTTACCAGTTCATAAGTTGGAACAATACTTTCTGTAGTATCATATGCTGTTTGATGTGTAACAGCATAAATTTCTTTCTGGTCAGAAATAACTTCAGTTTTACTATCATCAGACCCTTCAGCTAAGTCTTCAGTTTTTTCCACTAAGATGGGAATATCTTGAGCCACTACATGGATTTCACGTGGATGGCAGGGTTCTACGGTTTCTACACTCTCTGTATCAATATCAGTTATAACTTCTAGTTTAAATGGTTCCTCTTGAACAACAGTATGAATCTCTTGTTTTTCTATATCTTGTTCTTGCAAGTTATCCTCAACACTTTTATCATAAAGATCAATTATTTCATTTTTTTCTTGGACATAAACAACTTCCTGTTCAACAATACTGATAACTTGGTCGGAATCATCATGTTCATCAAATGTATTTAAAGTTTCCTCTCTTACTTTATATTCTAAAACTTCTTCTGGTTGTTCAAACTCCTGTAACTCTGCAACTTCATGTATTTCAGTCTTAAATGAATCATATTCATAACATTTTTCAGGTTTTTCAGTATTGTCTTCTTGTGTCACTTGATATTCTTCTTCAATATCTACTTGTTTCTCTTGATAATTTTCCTCAAAATCTACTTCTTCTGCTTGATATTTTTCCTCAATGTCTACTTGTTCTGCTTGATATACTTCTTCAATGTCATCTAGTTCTGCTTGATATTCTTTTTCAATATCTATTTGTTCCTCTTGATATTCTTTCTCAATGTCTATTTGTTCTGCTTGGTATTTTTCCTTAATCTCTACTTGTTCTGCTTGATATTCTTCTTCAATATCTATTTGTTCTGCTTGATATTCCTTCTTAATGGTTACATGTTCTGCTTGATATTCTTCCTTAATGTCTGCTCTTTCTGTTTGATGTTCTGTCTTAATGTCTAATTGTTTTTCATGAGATTCATCCACGATGTCTATTTGTTCTGTTTGATATTCTTTCTCCATTTCTGCTTGTTCTGCTTGATCTTCATCCACAGATTTTTTGGTTATCTGTTCCCTTTCTTCATACTCAAACTGATCCTGGGATTTTTTTGTTTCGTGTAGTTGCTCAGATTGTAATTCCTGTTCAACCTCAAATTCGTCTTTGATTTCAAATTCTTGTTCAAGTTTAACTAGTGCCTTGTCAACTGATTCTTCAGGTTGAATTTCAGCAATATCTAATGTCTTTTCAATTCCAAATAATTCCTGTGCAACTGGCTCTGTTTCAACATCAGTTATTTTTTTCTGTATTTGTTCTCTAGTCTCAAATTCAATTGTATCAGTTGGTTTTTCAGTCTCTCTGAGTTGCTCATGTTCAGTTTCTTGTTTTTCAGCCTGAAGATCGTCTTTGCTAGCGATTTCTCTCCTGATTTGTTCTCTA